TTGCTGCTGCTGTTGTTATATCTGATGTAGTTGCCATAGCTGATATTACCACTATAGCTGCTGCTATTGATTTTGCTGCTGCTGCTGTTGTTATATCTGCTGTAGTTGCCATAGCTGCTGCTACCACTATAGCTGCTATTGATTTTTCTGCTGTTGTTATATCTGATGCACAGTGAGGGAAAAAAAGTAGTTGATCCCCTGCTGATTCTGTACGTTTGCCCACTGACAAAGAAATGATCAGTCTATAATTTTAATGGTAGGTTTATTTGAACAGTGAGAGACATAATAACAACAACAAAATCCAGAAAAACGCATGTCAAAATATTATGAATTGATTTGCATTTTAATGAGGGAAATAAGTATTTGACCCCTCTGCAAAACATGACTTAGTACTTGGTGGCAAAACCCTTGTTGGCAATCACAGAGGTCAGACGTTTCTTGTAGTTGGCCACCAAGTTTGCACACATCTCAGGAGGGATTTTGTCTCACTCCTCTTTGCAGATCTTCTCCAAGTCATTAAGGTTTCGAGGCTGACGTTTGGCAACTCGAACCTTCAGCTCCCTCCACAGATTTTCTATGGGATTAAGGTCTGGAGATTGGCTAGGCCACACCAGGACCTTAATGTGCTTCTTCTTAAGCCACGACCCATTATCAATGCCCTGGCTGAGGGAAGGAGGTTCTCACCCAAAATTTGACGGTACATGGCCCCGTCCATCGTCCCTTTGATGCGGTGAAGTTGTCCTGTCCCCTTAGCAGAAAAACACCCTCAAAGCATAATGTTTCCACCTCCATGTTTGACGGTGGGGATGGTGTTCTTGGGGTCATAGGCAGCATTCCTCCTCCTCCAAACACGGCGAGTTGAGTTGATGCCAAAGAGCTCCATTTTGGTCTCATCTGACCACAACACTTTCACCCAGTTGTCCTCTGATTCATTCAGATGTTCATTGGCAAACTTCAGACGGGCATGTATATGTGCTTTCTTGAGCAGGGGGACCTTGCGGGTGCTGCAGGATTTCAGTCCTTCACGGCGTAGTGTGTTACCAATTGTTTTCTTGGTGACTATGGTCTCAGCTGCCTTGAGATCATTGACAAGATCCTCCCGTGTAGTTCTGGGATGATTCCTCACCGATCTCATGATCATTGCAAATCCACGAGGTGAGATCTTGCATGGAGCCCCAGGCCGAGGGAGATTGACAGTTCTTTTGTGTTTCTTCCATTTGCGAATTATCACACCAACTGTTGTCACCTTCTCACCAAGCTGCTTGGCAATGGTCTTGTAGCCCATTGCAGCCTTGTGTAGGCCTACAATCTTGTCCCTGATATCCTTGGAGAGGTCTTTGGTCTTGGCCATGGTGGAGAGTTTGGAATCTGATTGATTGATTGCTTCTGTGGACAGGTGCCTTTTATACAGGTAACAAGCTGAGATTAGGAGCACTCCCTTTAAGAGTGTGCCCCTAATCTCAGCTCGTTACCTGTATAAAAGACACCTGGGAGCCATAAATCTTTCTGATTGAGAGGGGGTCAAATACTTATTTCCCTCATTAAAATGCAAATCAATTTATAACATTTTCGACATGCGTTTTTCTGGATTTTGTTGTTGTTATTCTGTCTCTCACAGTTCAAATAAACCTACCATTAAAACTATAGAATTATACTTTCTTTGTCAGTGGGCAAACGTACAAAATCAGCAGGGGATCAAATACTTTGTTCCCTCACTGTAGTTTGCCATAGCTGCTGCTACAACTATAACTGCTATTGATTTTGCTGCTGCTGTTGTTATATCTGCTGTAGTTACCATAGCTGCTGCTACCACTGTAGCTGCTATTGATTTTGCTGCTGCTGTTGTTATATCTGCTGTAGTTGCCATTGATGATCCTACCACTATAGCTGCTGCTATTGATTTTGCTGCTGCTGTTGTTATATCTGATGTAGTTGTCCTAGCTGCTGCTACCACTATAGCTGCTATTGATTTTGCTGCTGCTGTTATATCTGCTGTAGGTGCCATTGATAATGCTACCACTATAGCTGCTGCTATTGATTTTGCTGCTGTTATATCTGATTTAGTTGTCATAGCTGCTGCTACCATTATAGCTGCTATTGATTTTGCTGCTGGTGTTGTTATATGTGCTGTAGTTGCCATAGCTGATGCTACCACTATAGCTGCTATTGATTTTGTTGCTGCTGCTGTTGTTATATCTGCTGTAGTTGCCATAGCTGATGCTACCACTATAGCTGCTATTGATTTTGCTGCTGCTGTTGTTATATCTGCTATAGTTGCCATTGATGATGCTACCATTATAGCTGCTGCTATTGATTTTGCTGCTGCTGTTGTTATATCTGATCTAGTTGTCATAGCTGCTGCTACCACTATAGCTGCTAATGATTTTGCTGCTGCTGCTGCTGTTGTTATATCTGATGTAGTTGTCCTAGCTGCTGCTACCACTATAGCTGCTATTGATTTTGCTGCTGCTGTTATTATATCTGCTGTAGTTGCCATTGCTGATGCTACCACTATAGCTGCTGCTATTGATTTTGATGCTGCTGTTATATCTGATGTAGTTGTCATAGCTGCTGCTACCACTATAGCTGCTATTGATTTTGCTGCTGGTGTTGTTATATCTGCTGTAGTTGCCACAGCTGATGCTACCACTATAGCTGCTATTGATTTTGTTGCTGCTGCTGTTGTTATATCTGCTGTAGTTGCCATAGCTGATGCTACCACTATGGCTGCTATTGATTTTGCTGCTGCTGCTGTTATATATGCTGTAGTTGCCATTGATGATGCTACCACTATAGCTGCTGCTATTGATTTTGCTGCTGCTGTTGTTATATCTGATGTAATTGTCATAGCTGCTGCTACCACTATAGCTGCTATTGATTTTGCTGCTGCTGTTGTTATATCTGCTGTCGTTGCCATAGCTGATGCTACCACTATAGCTGCTATTGATTTTGCTGCTGCTGTTGTTATATCTGCTGTTGTTGTCATAGCTGCTGCTACCACTATAGCTGCTATTGATTTTGCTGCTGTTGTTATATTGGATGTCCTTTATATAGCTATTGTTGCAGCTTTTGATGTTTCTGCTGTTGTTATATCTTCTGTAGTTGCCATAGTTTCTGCTGCTACGACGACCATAGCTGTTGCTATTGCTGCTGTTGTTATATCGGCTGTCGTTTCTATAGCTATTGCTGCTGCTATTTATTTTGCTGCTGCTGCTGTTGTTTTATCAATAGCTGGCGCTGCTGTCGTAAATGTTGGATGGGTATCGGCCAGGCATGTCCTCTGTCTGTCCTTGCCACTGATGATGATTCATGGGGCGACTGTGGCTCTGATGGATTGATGTCTTCTCATCGACCTCGTCGACTCATTTAAATGCAGTCCTTGTTATATACTGTATCGTTAGATGTAATCTTTCATCGCACAGATCGTGAAAGGCGACAACAGGGAGATATTGCCGTGGAACAAACCCACACACACAATGTATGCTATATGTCTTTCGAAAATCGATATTTGCTAGGATTGGTGATGAAATATCTGTCGTCTATGCTGGGTTGATTCGTGTTAAACAATAACCCATATAGACACATGTTGTTTTGACTCGATACACACACACACGTACGTGCAATGAAGATGCAACCGGTTAAATTATAGTGTTGCAATCATAATTTTCATAATCAATCATACAGTAATGATATTACAGGATCAAAAAAATATCTCAAAATTACCTTTTGTAAATACAAAAAAAGTCGCATCTTGCAAAGACCAAAATATAATTGCGAACCCATGCATCGTTGTATGTATCTGCATACGATTAGCATCGGGGTGAATGGCCCTCATCCAGAAGTGGATTAACAGAACGGCTGTGTGCGTGCGTGTCGTTGTGTGATTCTGTGCCGGATGGTCCCGATGTCTGGTGACCTCCCCTCCCATTTAATTATCTAAAACTTACAATTGTTGTACGATTTTTTTAAAGCAGAAATTTATATGCAAAGGAAACAATGTTAGGGGTCAATTGATTGGAGGTCACAAGACATACGGACCGCCAACCTGTGCATCTCTAATGTGTGTAACACACTCAATAAAACATTGAATTTGTCACACGTTTCATGCCACGACCCTGCTGTAAAGTCCTTGAGAATGAGTGAATCAATTATAGGAAAATAGCAGCATTATTTTTACTATATTATTACTGTTATAGCATTTGGAATCCATCTCCTGCATGCAAATATACATATAAGCGTGATGTATGGAATAAGTGACTACAATATATACGTTGTTAGATAAGTCAATGGATGCATATTCACATATATACATGGTGTATGCCATTATACGCTACGACATATACAATATCACATATACATAAGCAGTTAAATCTATGCACGTATAAATGTACACACTATATTCTTGATGAAATAATTAACCATAGCTCCGATGGTCTACTAATTGTGTATATTACATTCATTAACTAAACATGATTGATAGATCACTGGACGTATATGTACATATCGGCATTCTGTATCAAATTATAAGCTACTATTGAACATATATTTAAAATCAGTAGATCAATCAATGATCGTCCATGTATACAGATGTACGCTTTTGACATTGCAAAATGCTTGCATTATTTACATTTAAATATACATTTTTTTTTTAAACGCAACATTTATCAGGAACGCTGCCGTAAAATGAAATGCCGTACATAATAGCGTCGACGTTTCGGGCAACAGCCCTTCACCGCAGCGCACTAGAGGTACACATCAGGCAACGTAACAACATCGCAGGCCGGCCGAGCTGCGTGCGTACGCACGCACGCGACGATTCTCAAGCAGATGTCAATATTGGCAGGGAGCGGTGGGATAAAGGGGGGGGGGTGGGTCGGGTTATGCATGCGGCTGCGATTTTGTACAAAGGGGCAGCAGCTTAAACAACAAGGAGCCATGGCAGGGCAGAACAAGAGAGGAAGGAGGGCCAGCGTGTGTTGAGAGCGGGCAGGCTCACTCACCCATATACATGACGCCCTCCTTCGTCTTCTCAGCTGCATCGCTCACGCTCTGCTTCGTCTTCTCAGCCGCAGCGGCCATGCCTTCTTTGGCCATCGAAAAGCCCTTCATGAGTGCATCCATGATGACGACCTCCTACTACTGCCACCTGGGGTTTGTCTCACGCTCTTGTCTGTCTGTGCCCTCTCCGCTCTGTCTCTGTGTGTCTCGCTGTCTCAGCCTCTCTCCGATGTCCGTGTGTGGCCCCCGTGCGTCTACGGGGTCGCGATATGCGCGTGATTCCCAAGACCACCTTGCTTGCCTACGAGTCGCAGATACGCGGCGACCTTCTCACCACCACCACCCCCCGTTTATTTGCCAACAAATTTAATAACCTTTTCCTATATCACGCAAGTGACTGGCGATAATGGAAAAATTATAGCAAATTTGTATTAATTGAAGTACAAATATTAACTAAACGTATTCAAAAAATATTTCAAATCTCTGAAGATACCCTTTACGATTTTCTTCTGATAATATAGAGCCCTATGTAACGATTTTTTAAAATTAAGTATATCTGGTTCAACAAATATATTCACACAATGATGATGACAATAATTAATGACGATTGCTATTGTGCAATAAAGCAAGAGCGAGTCTCCAGCAGGAGCGTCTATGCGATATGATGAGGATTATTAGCACGAGGCTATGCTATATGATGCTGCTGCTGTAAGCCGTCTCTGGCTCTCTGTGCTAGAGGAGCAGCGACAGAGTGAATATTAAATCCCTGCCTGGCTGGGTAGGGTCGCGTTCGCATCATTCCCCAAGGGCTCTCTCTAACGTGAACGCGACGTCATTGGCAGCGGTTTGACGTCATTGTGGTGTTACGTTTCACCCGCGTGACGTCATTGCGTTAACAATCGATTGCTTACAAAAAAACAATAGATGCCATGGATTGTTCTTTTTTGTTTGGGCGTGTCAAAAAAAAAGCTGAGACGTAAAGGCGCAGCCCTTGCAATGTCTCGCTCAAGCCACTGCTGGCGGATGGTCCTCCGCCTAAAAGAGATGTAGCGAGTTAGATTTGATGAAGGCCGCTTGTGTTGTGGCCGAAACGTCGTGAGAATTTTATTGTGTTATTTTATTTTATAAATTTATTATTTTATTCTCATTCTACGTGACTTTACCGAAAGAACCAAAGAAGATGAATCCTTGCAGTCACGAAAGCTTTAAATCGAAATTTAGATTTGAAGCTTTCGTGACTGCAGGAATCCATACTCTTTGGTTCTTTCGGTAAAGTCGCGTAGGTAAAGAAAAATAAAATACTACGTGACTTTACCGAAAGAACCAAAGAGTATAGAGATGGAGCGATTACACGAGCTTATTTGCAGGAATGAGACGGTGGATCGATGTTTGCTTGCCCTTCGCAAGACCGTCAAGGGATGCCGGCTGCGTTTGGGAGGGGGTTTCATCCAGCGGTGGATAAACCGCCCAGTAAGCTTGCTACTTCAGGCCAACGTTGGCATGTGGTCCGAAGTGTCGCGGGTTTGACGATCGCGCCCTCCCGTGGCGGCTCGCCAATTCGCGGTTGCCCGCGAGGTTCCTTGACGGAATGCGTGGTCAAGATGTGCTGCTGCTGCTGTTCTATGCAAGGTGCCCTTAGCTGCACTGCTCGTAATGATGATGATGATGTGGAGGAGCACGCACGCGTCTCCTCCACCTCGTCTCCACCTCGTCTCCCACGTGGCCCATCGCGGGTCCCAGGTTACTGCCCACAAGCGAGGAGGCAGTGAGGTTACGAAATACATTTTTTTTAATTTCTCTACATTTTACCGTACAAGTTATATTCAGCACGAGAAAATATTGATCATATTTTCGCATTCAAAATACTTCCAGTTGTAATGTTTGCGTTGATGTAGGGTGACATAAAACAAATGAAGGGATTGGAATGTCGTATTACAAACTTTGAAATCTAGATTTAAAACGAATTTCTTTAGAACTGAATTTTGTGTTTAGTTTGCTGTCCATCCCCCGCATCTTCAATTAGCGCGGTTGACTACGTACGGTGCGAAAGAAGTTCAACATGCGAAACGTGAACCAAACCCTGGTGTTTTCCATTCGCCTTTTATTTTTTGCCGATTGCGGCTACTTTCAAGAACGCAACCCCGCAATGGGAAAGAGTTTGGTGTACGTTGTGTAGAAAACTGACCAATATTTTGCCATAATTAAAGAGTTTTACTGTTACGAGATCATCCTGAGTATGATCACCTTTGGCTATACAAATTAGTGAGGTGGTGAATTAGCACATAGCCCACAATACGAACTTAACATGTATGTTATAAATTCACTGCGCCCAGCACGTTCTATCCGGCGGCTTGAGGGATGCGGCCACGTTTACACGCCGGAAAAATACGCACGTTTGTGTATGGTTGTGATTGGTTAGCCCCCTCTCGTGGTCGCGTTACAAATCCCCGTGAGAGTAAGGGACTGTATAACAAACAGAATCATCGTGGTGGATAATATAAGTGCTGTATGAATAATCAATTAATATTATTGTTAAGCAAAATCTCGATATGTTTGTTTGGCAGATATCCATGAGTACATCCATATACAGTATGTACATACTCTGTTCTTCAATAAACACCGTCTTCATCTTACGTCGAAATCTCACTTTTACGCAATGCTAGGGCCGCATTTTCCTTCTCTCATACACCTTCCGTTTCTTGTCTGCCATCCCTGTCCATCTCGCCACGCGTCTGTCTTCGAAACCTTGCACCACCCCTCGTCCACATCTCTGCTGCCCACACGTCGTGTTGTCACACCAGCTCTGTGGTATGACGACCTCTTTTAGCGCTGTTTCAATTAGCGCTCACTTCTTCGGGAGCGCATCTTGAACGCTAAGCGAGGTCTGCCTGCGTTTCGCTTTTGTTTACACACGTTCAACTATTCAACTATTTTTTTTGCTATTTTTTTTAATTTTACCAGGTGAGGCCCACTGATCTAGCTCTTTTTCGTCATGTGCAAATGTATAGCAGCCACATACAATGAACGCGTGATGTTGATTCTAAATTTCGAGGGAAAAACCGGAGGACCCGGAGAAAAAGCCACGCGACCACGGGGAAAGAGAGAGAGAGGGAGAGACACGCAAACTCCAAATATACAGCAGCAGGCGTCAGGGTCGGGATCGAACCCACGACCTCCCGCGTACCAGGCGAGGTAGTTAACATCTCATAGCCACCGTGATGATGATGAGAGAGAGACACGCAAACTCCAAATGTACAGCAGCAGGCGTCAGGGTTGGGATCGAACCCACGACCTCCTGTATACCAGGCGAGGTAGTTAACATCTCCTAGCCACTGTGATAATGCTGAGAGAGAGCCATGCAAACTCCAAATGTACAGCAGCAGAAGGCGTCAGGGTCGGGATCGAACCCACGACCTCCCGCATACCAGGCGAGATAGTTAACATCTCTGTCACTTCACGAGGAATTTAATTGAAAGGGAGAGGGCCCCACAAGATGAAGTCTGCTGAGGGCCCCCCAATGGGCTAGCAGCACCAGTGACTGTCGGTTCGTGTCTTGAGTGGGGGGGGGGAGTCGAATCTTCCCGGGCGGTGCGAGTTTAGATTCTGAATCTTTCTTTTAGACTGGAGGAATCCGATGAGCTATGAAGCTCTTTTTCATAGATGCCCAGTATGGACTGCTCCTTCATGGCACGCTCATCCACTGGTGTATGCAGCGTAGAAGTGGAGCTGGGAGTGGAGGTGAGAGAGAGAGAGACAAACAGGGGGAGAGTGAAATTTGGGCGAGGGAATAAGTGAGCCACTCGAGAGGAGAGAGTGAGATTGGGAGAGTCAGCGGGTGAGAATGTGACGGCAGAAGATAGACGAGGGCGAATGTGGGGGAGGGAGGGGGCATCAGTCGTGACACTGTGTGTGAGCGTGACACTAAGAGTGAGCTTGACACTGAGAGTGTGAGCGTGACACTGAGAGTGTGAGCGTGACACGGTGTGTGTGTGGCACGGTGAGTGTGTGAGCGTGAGACTGTGAGTGTGTGAACGTGACACTGAGAGTGAGCTTGACACTGCGTGTGTGAGCGTGACACTCTCAGTGAGTGAGCGTGAGATTGTGAGTATGAGCGTGACATGGTGTGTGAGTGTGGCACGGTGAGTGTGTGAGCATGAGACTGTGAGTGTGTGAGCGTGACACGAAGAGTGAGCTTGACACTGCGTGTGTGAGCGTGACACTCTCAGTGAGTGAGCGTGACACTGAGAGTGTGAGCGTGACACGGTGTGTGAGTGTGGCACGGTGAGTGTGTGAGCGTGAGACTGTGAGTGTGTGAACGTGACACTGAGAGTGAGTGTGGCACAGTGACGATTATCTGAACCGGTACTGGGCATCCCCTAGGTCAACTCAGCCTCAAATGAGTACCTGGTGCGGTGTGTAAACATTGCCACTGGGGAGACAAAGGCGGTCGGGCGTGGTGCTGGCCACCCACCCCCTCGTGTACCGTTCCGGCTTTCATAGGTGCTCGCTAACAGCACTTGCCCCTACAGTCTGTCTTTGTCTTTGTTTGTGTGAGCATAATACTGATAGTGAGTGTGTGTGAGTGTGTGTGAGCGTGAGACTGTGACTGTGAGTGTGTGAATTCCCTCAGCCTGGAAAACATCGTGGGACAAAGTGGGGATGACTTTGCTGAGGCTGCGGTGCCTCAAAATTTGGAAGAAGTCACCTCCTGTGAGTGGGTGGCTGAGGTGCCATCTGTTGAGGAAGTACTGAAGGCGATCCGGAGTCTGAGACCAGGAAAGGCACCGGGCAGAGATGATCTCCCAAACGAAATGCTGAGGGATGACGGCGTTTGTGCACAGACTGCCCTACATGACATTATAACAACAGTCTGGACCACTGGACGGGTTCCGCAGGATTGGAAGGATGCCCTGGTGGCCCCCCTCTTTAAGAAGGCGGACCGCACAGACTGTAACAACTACAGGGGCATCTCACTCCTCAGTGGGCTGGGAAAGGTCCTTGCAAGGATTATTCAACATCGCCTTGCCAGGCACGCTGAGGAGAGGCTTGCGGAGCCCCAATGCCATGTTTTCTGTCCGTCTGCTACAGCAGAGGTGTAGGAAATTCCAACAAGACCTACATCTCTGACCTGGTCAAAGCCTTAGATACCATCAGAGTCCCTGAGCCAGAGCTCATGATCATTAAGGTGAGTGTGCCCGGGTAAAACAACGTGGCTGGGAGTCGGAGCCATTTCCTGTTCACCTTGGGGTGCGACAGGGATGTCCTCTGGTTCCCACATTATGTAACATCTATTTTGACCACGTAGTTCGTGAAGCCTTCAATAGCTGTACCGGGGGAATCTCCATTTGGTACAGATATAATGGGAGGCTGATCGATGCCCGGGTGCGGTCAAGGGATGGCTCCCTATTGCTCAACCACGTTATGTATGCTGATGATTTGGTAATAGCTGCTCAGTCAGAGGAGGAGTTGGAGACGCTGCTGTTGAGACTGGAGCGTGCTACTAAGAGATGGGGCCTTAACCATCAGCCCCACCGAAACTAAGCACCTGCCTGGGTATTTTGTACCATCGGACACTCCACCTCCACAACTCCCAATCGGTGATGGGGCAGTTGTGGAGAGAGTGGAGAGTTTCCCATACCTGGGAAGTGTGCTTATGACTGGCTCCAGTTTAACAGCAGAGGTCTCACTCCGAATCAGTCGAGCGGCAATATCTTTTCATCGGTTGCGTAACGCTGTGTGGAAGCTACCTGGTCTGTCGTTCCGCACTAAGCTTCAGGTCTTCTCGGCCACGGTCATTCCCTCCCTTCTCTACGCTTGCGAAACGTGGACCCCCCTAATGGAACATCTTCGCCGGTTAGAAACATTTAGGCTGGCCTGCCTACGATCCATCCTGGGTTTAACCAGACTGGATTGTGTGAGGAGCTCACAAATCCTTGAAAGATCTGGGCAAGGTCCCATCGGTGAGCTCCTCCGGCAGGCAAGGCTGCGATGGCTGGGTCATGTAGCCCGCATGCCCAGCCACCGCATGCCGAAACAGCTTTTGTTCGGCTAGAGAAGAGATGGAGTGGTGGTACAGGAGGCACGGGCTAGAGAAGAGATGGAGTGATGTGGTACAGGAGGCATGGGGCTAGAGAAGAGATGGAGTGATGTGGTACAGGAGGCACGGAGCTAGAGAAGAGATGGAGTGATGTGGTACAGGAGGCACGGGGCAAGAGAAGAGATGGAGTGACGTGGTACAGGAGGCACGGGGCTAGAGAAGAGATGGAGTGATGTGGTACAGGAGGCACGGGCTAGAGAAGAGATGGCGTGACGTGGTACAGGAGGCACGGGGCTAGAGAAGAGATGGAGTGATGTGGTACAGGAGGCACGGGCTAGAGAAGAGATGGAGTGATGTGGTACAGGAGGCACGGAGCTAGAGAAGAGATGGAGTGATGTGGTACAGGAGGACGTGGAGCTGAGTGGACTTGCCGATGACTGGTACCAGCGGTGTCAGGATCGGCCTCTGTGGAGGAGGCTCGTGAAGGATGCTACTGGGCAGTTGGAGGCAGTCGCCCTCCAACAACAACGGAGGGCGGAGGAGCGACGCTCACAACAACGAGCGGAGCGCCGGGTGGCTAAAGCACAGCAGGTTGGCACAGTAGGGGGCACAGGTGGTGCATCAGCCAGTCATCTCAGTCAGTCGACCGTGGCACCTGGGTCTGCCCCGTGACCTCCTGCCAGCGGGCGTTCGACACTTCACGTGGCCTCAAGGTGCACATGGCCTGGCCCAAGCGTCGTGGTGACGTTACCGCCACTTAGTGGCGAATGGCGGTTGTTGTATGTGTGAGTGAGTGTGTTGTTATTGTGAGTGTGTGTGAGTGTGTGTGTATGTGCGAGTGAGTGTGTTGTTGTTGTTGTGTGTATTTGTGTGAGTGTGTGTGTATGTGTGAGTGTGTTGTGGGGAGCGGTAGTGTAGCGGTTAGCGCTACGCTGCGCTATGAACCTGGCGACCCGGGTTGGATTCCCGCTCAGGACCAACACCAGTGACGATTATCTGAACCGGTCCCGGGCATCCCCTAGGTCGACTCAGCCTCAAATGAGTACCTGGTGCGGTGTGTAAACATCGCCACTAGGGAGACAAAGGCGGTCGGGCGTGGTGCTGGCCACCCACCCCCTCGTGTACCGTTCCGGCCTTCATAGGTGCTCGCTAACAGCACTTGCCCCTACAGTCTGTTAAGGCTATACGGGGGATCTTTGATCTTTGTTTTTGTGTTGTGTGTGTGTATGTGTGAGTGAGTGTGTTGTGTGTATTTGTGTGAGTGTGTGTGTATGTGTGAGTGAGTGTGTTGTTGTGTGTGCGAGTGTGTGTGAGTGTGTATGTATGTGTGAGTGAGTGTGTTGTTGTGTGAGTGTGAGACTGTGTCAGCGTGACACTCAAAGAGTGTGTGAGCGTGACAATAGCGAATATTTGAACCGGTCCTGGGCATCCCTTAGGTCGACACAGCCTCAAATGAGCAACTGGTGCGATGTGTAGTAAACATCGCCCACTAAGGGAGACAAAGGCGGCCGGGCGTGGTGCAGTGCCAGCCTGCATAGGCGCTCGCTCACACCGCATTGCTCCAACAGCCTGTTAAGGTCATACAGGGATCTTTGTCTCCGTGAGAGCGTAGAGAAGGCGAGGGGGGGAGGAGAAAATGCATGGAGATTTGGGGGGAGGGGAAGTGCGTCTCAGAGGAGGAGGAGGAAGGAGGGAGGGAGCGGAATGGCTACAGAGAACGACTGGGGGAGGGAGGGAAGGAGGGCGAGAGAGAGAGTGAGGCTGTGGAGGGAGATAGTTGCGTGATGTGTCGGTGTCGAGAGAGGAGAGGGGATGCCACACTGGGACGAGGAGGGAGGAACACCGAGAAGAGTGGGAGAGAAAGAGACTGTTAGAGAGAGCGTGAGAGTGGGAGAGAGAGAGAGACAGTGTGTGTGTGATGTTGATGTAAAGAGAGAGAGAGGCACAGAGTCTGGTGGAAAGAGGGAGAGAGCATTTGAGAGAGAGAGAGAGAGCAACACACAGATTCAGCGAAGACCGCAGGCTCAGAGAGAACAACCTCCTCCTCATCCTCCTCCTCATCCTCCTCCCCATGGCCTCCCAAAGAGCTCTCTTCTGCTCCTCTCTAGGAGTAGCTGCGTGCATCTTCATCTTCGTGAGCCTCCAGGTAGTACACCGAGTCCCGCAGCAGCATACTGACAGTCTATACATTGATACAGTATATACACGAATATAGTATACATGCATAGTGTTCACTGACAGTATACACACTGATACAGTATACACACTGATACAGTATACACACTGATACAGTATACACACTGATACAGTATACACACTGATACAGTATACATGCATAGTGTTCACTGACAGTATACACACTGATACAGTCTACACACTGATACAGTCTACACACTGATACAGTATACATGCACAGTATACACACTGATACAGTCTACACACTGATACAGTCTACACACTGATACAGTCTACACACTGATACAGTCTACATGCACAGTATACACATTGATACAGTCTACACACTGATACAGTATACACACTGATACAGTATACACACTGATACAGTATACACACTGATAGTGTACACATTGATACAGTATACACACTGATACAGTATACATGCACAGTATACACATTGATACAGTCTACACACTGATACAGTCTACACACTGATACAGTGTACACACTGATACAGTATACACACTGATACAGTCTACACACTGATACAATCTACACACTGATACAGTATACATGCAGAGTGTTCACTGACAGTCTACACACTGATACAGTATACACACTGATACAGTATACACACTGATACAGTGTACACTGATACAGTATACATACACAGTGTTCACTGACAGTATACACACTGATACAGTATACACACTGATACAGTATACATGCAGAGTGTTCACTGACAGTCTACACACTGATACAGTATACACACTGATACAGTGTACACTGATACAGTATACATACACAGTGTTCACTGACAGTATACACACTGATACAGTATACACACTGATACAGTATACACACTGATACAGTATACACACTGATACAGTATACATGCACAGTATACACATTGATACAGTCTACACACTGATACAGTCTACACACTGATACAGTATACACACTGATACAGTATACACACTGATACAGTATACATGCATAGTGTTCACTGACAGTATACACACTGATACAGTCTACACACTGATACAGTCTACACACTGATACAGTATACATGCACAGTATACACATTGATACAGTCTACACACTGATACAGTCTACACACTGATACAGTATACACACTGATACAGTATACATGCATAGTGTTCACTGACAGTATACACACTGATACAGTCTACACACTGATACAGTCTACACACTGATACAGTATACATGCACAGTATACACACTGATACAGTCTACACACTGATACAGTATACACACTGATACAGTATACACACTGATACAGTATACATGCATAGTGTTCACTGACAGTATACACACTGATACAGTATACACACTGATACAGTATACATGCACAGTATACACATTGATACAGTCTACACACTGATACAGTCTACACACTGATACAGTCTACACACTGACACAGTATACATGCATAGTGTTCACTGACAGTATACACACTGATACAGTCTACACACTGATACAGTATACACACTGATACAGTATACACACTGATACAGTATACATGCAGAGTGTTCACTGACAGTCTGCACACTGATACAGTATACACACTGATACAGTATACACACTGATACAGTATACACGCATAGTGTTCACTGACAGTCTACACACTGATACAGTATACATGCACAGTATACACACTGACACAGTATACACATTGATACAGTATACATGCACAGTATACACATTGATACAGTATACACACTGATACAGTCTACACACTGATACAGTATACATGCACAGTATACACATTGATACAGTATACACCCTGATACAGTATACACACTGATACAGTATAGTCATTATCATCATCAATGAGGATTATCGGAGTTGGATGACAACTGATTCTGTCCTACTCATGATCAGCATTACAATAATCATCATCTGTCAGTATAGTGTATATCATCTCATCCATCACAATCATTGTGGTTGGATGATTGATGTAAATTGTAGAAAGTTAGATGATACGCTATCCAATTCATAATAATCATATACATCATCATCTTTATCACCAAAGTCATCATCAAATTGACCATATCCGTCTTATTATCCATCAACTTTATCATCGAAGTTATCCTCTTATGGTCCATGTTGTCTTATTTAATATTAACCATCAACATCAACACCATCATCGTCATCATCATGAGCAGCAGGAGAGTAAGTTGTGCTCCTGATGTTGGGTGAGAGGCGTCATATCGACGAACAATGCCCTTCGTTGCCTGTACTGCGTCTGGAGACGCGGTACTCGTCGTATATTTGCGGTGTAAATGGCACAACTGCGTGAGAATCCGCAGTGTGTCCGTGAGAATCGGTGGAGTTACTCGCTCGTCACCTCCCCCACCCCCATCACAGATGTGAGTCCGTGTCTACGTGCATCAAGACGATCACGGGCTTTGGTTAGGCGTTACTGGAATGGCGTTCGTATTCTTGGTTCTTTCGGTAAAGTCACGTAGAAGGGAAACAATAAAAATGATAAAATATATATATAAAAACAATAAAATTCTCAACGACGTTTCGACTGCAACACAAGCAATCATCATCACACCTGATGACCGCAACACAAGCAATCATCATCACACCTGATGATTGCAACACAAGCAATCATCATCACACCTGGTGACTGCAACACAAGCAATCATCATCACACCTGGTGACTGCAACACAAGCAATCATCATCACACCTGATGACCGCAACACAAGCAATCATCATCACACCTGGTGACCGCAACACAAGCAATCATCATCACACCTGATGACTGCAACACAAGCAATCATCATCACACCTGATGATTGAAACACAAGCAATCATCATCACACCAGATGACTGCAACTCAAGCAATCATCATCACACCTGATGACTGCAACACAAGCAATCATCATCACACCTGATGATGAGTGCTTGTGTTCCAGTCGAAACGTCGTGAGAATTTTATTGTTTTATTAGAATTTTTTTATTCTTATTTTATTGTTTCCCTTCTACGTGACTTTACCGAAAGAACCAAGAATATGAATCCCTGCAGTCACGAAAGCTTTAAATCAAAATTTAAAAATGGAATGGCGTTGTGGTTTATATTGGTTAGGGGTATGGCCAGGATTCTGGATATGGCTAGTACTGTGCTTGTGTTAGGGTTATGATTAGAGTTTGGGTTAGGGTTTGGGGTAATGCACATGGCGAGCATTTGCGTTCGACTTAGGGCGAGAGTTATCGGGAGGGTTATGGCTATGATGAGTTATTGTTATAGGTTAGGGATAGAGTTAGGGATATGGTTATGGCTATGATAAGTAATTGTGTTAGGTTGGGGTTAGAGTTAGGGGTAGGATTATGACTCTGATGAGTTATTGTGTTGGGGTTAAGGATAGGCTTTCGATTCACATGCGTGAGTGCCAAGACTGGACAGGACTTGCGTTAGAGACAGGGCTTAGGCGAGGGTCAGAACTGGTTCTGGCTTAGCCTAGGGTCACTGCTGGTTGCTTGGGCTCATGTTTTCTGGCTGCTATGCCACTGCAATGCGTGGATAATTCATCGCCGAGCCTGGCTGATGCCAGCATTGTATTCTTTAGTTCGGCTAAAGTGACTCACAAACACGCGTTTTTTTTACATTTTCCACGTTCAGCCTTATAGACGTGCAAGTGCTGCTGTTAGCGAGCACCTATTAAGGCCGGCACGACGCACCCGTGCAGATCACACGTCCGACGCGGCTGTGTGCCACGCCAATGGACATTTTGGAATAGCCCAGAGTGCAACTGAGGTCACCAATGTCAAACCATGAACCACATAGCGACAACATTGCTGGCTTCCATAATTTAAATCTATGGGTCTCTATGTGGCTCTTTGGGTGTCAGTGTAAGTCGTCTGTAGGTCTCTATATACGCCTATGAATTTCACATGTACGCCTACCTTCAAGTGAGTCTATATCTCGAATCATGGCCCACAGTGCCTCATTGCCCGCTTCAATGTTTAATGTTTAGTCTCTGTGCGAGTCTCTAGTTCGCTTTGCGAGTCGATGGATGTCCATGCGAGTGTGCGGGTCTCATCGTCAGTCGTTGGGTTTCTGTGTACGTCTAGGAATCGCCATGTGAGTTCTGTTCTGTATCATTTTCGATATTCACCGCGGGGCCACCGCTGAAGCCGTCCACTGGCTCATACCAGCACGGCCACCACACCCCACTTTGCCATTGTCTATAGAGATACAAAGGCGGAAAGGTGTGTTGCTGAACCTGTTGGCCACTCCACGCCCACGCGTGTATGTGGGCTACCTCGATACGTGCCCCCTCGCAGCACCAACTCCTTACACAGTTCATCCACCGACATGTTCTATTCACTGCTGGACGAAGGCCTTCCCCACACCGTCACCGTATCTCACGGTCCCAGTTTATGACGAGTGACCGTGTTCCATCCACTGCTGGATGGAGGCCTCCCCACGGTCCCGCATGGGCCCAAATGTGGAATCTGTCATTCGGCACAAAAGCCACCACGCGATGCGCACGCACAACAACCCAGCCGGGCGAGTCCGGCGTCTTATTTAGTTTCTGCCCGCCCTCCGCCTTCACGCACAAAAGAATTCGCAACGTTTCCAAACCAGTTGAGAGCGTGACACCCAGAAAAAGAAAAAAAATCCGTGACAAAAGGGATTCGTGACACTTCTGTTTGTGAGACACGTACACAGACAGCATTGGCCATTCTTGAGCACGCGACGCTTGCAACTTGAGCCACCCCCATCTGTAAAGACGCACTTGTCACCTGCATCGTATCACCAACACCACAGTGAATGTGTGTACGCGCGTGTCTTAGTCCAGGGGCCAGTTCCGTTTCGATTCTTTCTCACGACCAACGTCAGTGACAATTGTCTGAACCAGTGCTGGGGGCCTCCCCTAGGTCGACTCGGCCTCAAATGATTACCTGGTGCGATGTGTAAACATCGTCACTGGGTGGGGGGGGGAGACAAAGGGGGCCTTGCGTGTTGCTGGACACCCACCCCCTCGCATTCACAGATGCTACTCGCAAACAGCACTTGTCCCAAATCATCCGTTAAGGGGATCTTTGTCTTTGTCCAGCTTGACACGGCTGGTGCGGTTTGCAGTTTGCCTCCAGTGGGGTAACAGATGAAGGTGCAGTCCTGCAATTGCTAACTCGTGCCACTGCTGACAGAAGGGCCTCCTCGAGAGGGAGCTCTCGAGAGCCTCTCTAGAAGCTATTTCGCCCGTATCTACGCTGGCCAGCCGTCTTGGAAGAGGTGAAAGAAGTACTCACCCCATACCCCACCACACCATTTACACAGAGTTGGAGGATTAGGTGTAGGGGATGTTGAAGGCGGGTGACGTGACCACCCACGTTTGGTCCCAACGCCTGAACAATATTTTCGCCCCCAGTTCACCGCATCCAGTAGACACCGCTCGCTACGCGACCGGGGCTGCGACTCCACAGTCTGGCAGCGAGCCCGAGCAGTAAATCAGCGAGGTATTAAAGCCCTGACCACGAAGGACATGGCCGAGCGGGGCTGAAACATTTTTCGTGAGAAACGAAGCCTTGGGTACTGTACATCTAACCTGGGATGCTGCCAGGGTGCAAATGTTTGCACTCCGGATCTGAAATCGATTTTATCTCCAGGCGTGACAGTTTGAATAATGGTACGGAATTTTAATCTTTGTTTAGACTGGAGGAATCCGATGAGCTATGAAGCTCTTTTTCACAGTTAAACGTTTCTTAAATACCCACTACCACGTCTGTCCACTCAGCAGTGAAAATGTGTGCACCAAACGGCAAGTCGTGTGTGGTGAGGTAAAGTGTGGGTACCCTCCCTCTTCCTTCCTCTTCCAAACGTTCTAGCCAGCCTGGAAGAGTAGGCCAACTCCATATAGCGGAGGCCTTTCCGCCAGCATGTGACCCGAGTCAGCGACTTGCAGGGCTGCGCCTTTACCTCTCGGAGCACGCTCCGCGCTCACTCCCCGCCTCGTCGCCCCCCGTCCCGTCCCGCCTGCAGGTGGCCGACGAGCTGAGCGGGTACGAGCGCGCCTCCCTCCCGGGGGGCCGCCGCGTCCGCCCGAGGGCCGACGGGGAAAGTTTGGGGGGCCCGCGAGCCGACGACGCCGGGCGGCCTCGGCCCCGGCCCCGTCACGGGAGCAGGGTGGTGAGCCGGGAGGCGCAGCTGGAGGCGGGCGACGCGCGCTACCCGGTGCTCGTGTGGTGGACGCCGCTGACGGGCGAGGCGGGCAAGCTGGCGCGCTGTCCCGGCGTGCCCGGCGACTGTTTCTTCACGGTGGACCGCTCGTACCGGCGGCACTCCATGGCCCGGGCCTTCCTCTTCTACGGTACCGAAATTGTCTTCATATTATTTTTGTATTTTATATATTTACGTAAAATATAGAGCGCGTTGGCAGTTCAAGGCGCTCTATGACGTGGCGAGATGTTGACTACCTCGCCTGGTATGCAGGAGGTCGTGGGTTCGATCCCGACCCTGACTCCTGCTGCACATTTTGAGTTTGCATGTCTCTCTCCACGTGTTCGCGTGGTTTTTTTTCTTCGGGTCCTTCGGTTTTCCCTCTCCAAATTTATAATCAACGTTATCACACGTTTAGAGTGTTTGGCCCCTGTAAATGTCCACGTGCTAAGCCACTTCGTTGGGCTATCATTTGTGATAGCCAGGTCGCTTCTGAAAAAAAGCTGGTGAATATTTTTGTTCGTAGTTTTTAGAGTTTATAACGTACAGTGAGGGAAAAAAGTATTTGATCCCCTGCTGATTTTGTACGTTTGCCCACTGACAAAGAAATGATCAGTCTATAATTTTAATGGTAGGTTTATTTGAACAGTGAGAGACAGAATAACAACAAAAAAATCCAGAAAAATGCATGTCAATAATGTTATAAATTGATTTGTATGTTAATGAGGGAAATAAGTATTTGACCCCCTATCAATCAGAAATATTTCTGGCTCCCAGGTGTCTTTTTTACAGGTAACGAGGTGAGATTAGGAGCACACTCTTAAAGGGAGTGCTCCTAATATCAGCTTGTTACCTGTATAAAAGGCACCTGTCCACAGAAGCAATCAATCAATCAGATTCCAAACTCTCCACCATGGCCAAGACCAAAGAGCTATCCAAGGATGTCAGGGACAAGATTGTAGACCTTCACAAGGCTGGAATGGGCTACAAGACCATTGCCAAGCAGCTTGGTAAGAAGGTGACAACAGTTGATGCGATTGTTTGCAAATGGAAGAAACACAAAAGAACTGTCAATCTCCCTCGGCCTGGGGCTCCATGCAAGATCTCACCTCGTGGAGTTGCAATGATCATGAGAACGGTGAGGAATCAGCCCAGAACTACACGGGAGGATCTTGTCAATGATCTCAAGGCAGCTGGGACCATAGTCACCAAGAAAACAATTGGTAACACACTACGCCGTGAGGGACTGAAATCCTGCAGTGCCCGCAAGGTCTCCCTGCTCAAGAAAGCACATATACATGCCCGTCTAAAGTTTGCCAATGAACATCTGAATGATTCAGAGGACAACTGGGTGAAAGTGTTGTGGTCAGATGAGACCAAATTGGAGCTCTTTGGCATCAACTCAACTCGCCGTGTTTGGAGGAGGAGGAATGCTGCCTATGACCCCAAGAACACCATCCCCACCGTCAAACATGGAGGTGTAAACATTATGACAACTTCACCGCATCAAAGGGACGATGGACGGGGCCATGTACCGTGAAATCTTGGGTGAGAACCTCGTTCCCTCTGCCAGGGCATTGAAAATGGGTCGTGGATGGGTATTCCAGCATGACAATGACCCAAAACACACGGCCAAGGCAACAAAGGAGTGGCTCAAGAAGAAGCACATTAAGGTCCTGGAGTGGCCTAGCCAGTCTCCAGACCTTAATCCCATAGAAAATCTGTGGAGGGAGCTGAAGGTTCGAGTTGCCAAACGTCAGCCTCGAAAACCTTAATGACTTGGAGAAGATCTGCAAAGAGGAGTGAGACAAAATCCCTCCTGAGATGTGTGCAAACCTGGTGGCCAACTACAAGAAACGTCTGACCTCTGTGATTGCCAACAAGGGTTTTGCCACCAAGTACTAAGTCATGTTTTGCAGAGGGGTCAAATACTTATTTCCTTCATTAAAATGCAAATCAATTTATAACATTTTTGACATGCGTTTTTTCTGGATTTTTGTTGTTTTTATTCTGTCTCTCACAGTTCAAATAAACCTACCATTAAAATGATAGACTGATCATTTCTTTGTCGGTGGGCAAACGTACAAAATCAGCAGGGGATCAAATACTTTTTTCCCTCACTGTAGTTTAAAAGTGGCAACAAAAAGTGAGTGATTTAGATGGCAAGGGTGCGTGCAAGGGCCGAGGAATGAGCGACTCCAACAGAGGGCACGTGGTGGAGTTTGGGGGTCATACAGGGGAGGAACGGGACGGAGGGGTGAGGGGAGGTTAATGGAAAAGAGGTGAGGCTGTGAGAGAGGAGCGGACGAGGTCAAGGAGGGAGACGGCTTAATGAGCAGGGGAAGTTTATTCCAGTGGTAGGGTGCGCAGGTAAAGGTGCAGCCTTGCAATTGCTTGCTCATGTCACTGCTGGTGGAAGATCCTCCGCTAGACAGGAGCTCTACAGAGCCTCTCTACAAGGTATGTTGTCCTGCCGATGCTCGCTGGCCAGACATCTTAGTGGAGGTGGAAGTACCCACACTTTACCCCACTACAAGCAACCTGCCGATTGACTTCACTGCTGGAGGGAAGTTGTTGGGTGGGATTCAATAAACTTGCACCGCCGTTTCAACTGCCACGCCAGGAGATGTTTTCGAAACGGCTACCTCTGGTTTGCAAGCCCAGTTTTGCCGTCCATTGCACCATGGTAACAATCTCCATCATCATCATCATCGTCAGCATCCTCACTTAATATTTAGGACTCTCCATAACTCCTCAAAGTGGAGGCCCTTCTGCCAGCAGTGACGTGGGGGAGGATATTGCAGGGCTGCACCTTTACCTATCTAAAAAATCATGACATTAATAAACAGCCTTATTTAGTTATTGTATTTTAGAAGGATTCCTCAAGAATTGTGGGGGCCTGAACAAATGTCTCATTTGTCTGTCTTACCACGAAATCTGGCGCTGTCACCCGCCTCCTCCAACACCCCCCGCACCCAAGGCACGGACTTCAGTGCTTGGGACCTCCCCCTGCCGCGCCAGCGCTCCCACGACTGGGCTCTGTTCCACGAGGAGTCGCCCAAGAACAACTATGTGCTCTTCTGGCCTCAGACGGCCGCCCTCTTCAACCACACGGCGACGTTCAGCCGCCGTTCCGACCTGCCGCTCACGCTGCAGTTCGTGGAGAGCACCAAGGCGCTGATGTCGCATCGCCTGCTGGTCGGCGCGGCCAAGAAGAGCCGGCTGCGGCGACCGGCGCCCGCGGGCCGGGGCCTGGCGGCCGTGGCGTACGTGCAGTCGGACTGCGAGCCGCCGTCGGACCGCGACGCGTTTGTGCGCGAGCTCTCGGCGTACATAGACGTCGACTCGTACGGGCGCTGCCTCCACAACCGAGACCTGCCCGGCCCGCTCACCGGTGAGCGGGAGAGGCATCCGCACTGTGCGAGGGGGCAACGCCATATCCCCACGCAGTAGGGAGGCGCGCTTGCTTTCAGACGCGCTTCTGCGGCCGTCCGGAACGCTCTTCCTTCCGATATTAGGAAGCCACTGGAGCTATGCACTTTTAAATGATCTATATTGAAAACTAATTTCTTTAGATCCGATTTTTGTGTTGAGTTTGTTGTCTTACCCCCGCACCACCGATTATCACAGTTCACTACGTATGCACGTGATGTTAATTCACATTTTTTCTGTAACCACCTTCTCCTGGTGAGCCGGGGGTACGGCACCTCCTCGACCAGGGGTCGGAAACTTTTCAAAGGAGTAGAGGAGTCATTGTTTGTGTTTTTGTCTTTGACCAAAATAGTTCGAGAGCCGCATCACATGCAGAGCTACGCATACACAGACACAGCAGCAAGTATACAGCAGATGACAAACATATTCTGACTTAAATGAACAAAATTGGTGATTGAATAAACTGCGACTATTTGGTTTTCCCCCCCTTAGTTATCCTGTAACAACACAGTTTGACGGTTGTACATTTTATTTTGAGTTAAAGCTTTCGTGACTGCAGTAATTCATATTCTTAGCTCTTTCGGTAAAGTCACGTTGAAGGGAAGCAATAAAATAATAAAATATATATTTAAAGTCTAAATAATAAAATATATATTTAAAGTCTTGTTGAGGGGAAACAATAAAATAATTAAATATGTATAAATATATATTTTATTGTTTCCCTTCAACGTGACTTTACCGAAAGAGCTAAGAATATGTTGTACATTTTGTCGTCACCAAGACATTACATATTGACCCATTCACTGTCATATTTAATACATTATCTTTACGTTATATTATGTTTCAGATTTCAGGTTGTTTATTTTTATTTTCAAACGGCTGCTCGCAAGGGGGCAGCCAAAGAGTCAGAATGGGGCTCCGGAGCCGCACGTTGCCGGCTCCTGTCCTCGATGCTCATGGGTAGAAGGGGATTTAGCGACAGCAGCGTGTGGCGATCCGCCAACCCCTCGCTGCTGCTGCTGCCTTCACAGCGGTGCCACCACCACCAACACCGCCACCACCAACCACCACCGCCACCACCAACCACCACCGCCACCGTCACCGCCACCCGCCCTTGTGCTTGCTTCACACAGACCCGTCGGCGATGGAGGCGGAGGGGTTCCTGTCGCTGCTGGCGAGCTACAAGTTCGTGCTGGCGCTGGAGAACGCGCTGTGCGACGACTACGTCACGGAGAAGCTGTGGCGGCCGCTGGCGGTGGGCGCCGTCCCCGTGTACCGCGGCTCGCCCAGCGCGCGCGACTGGCTTCCCGACCCCGAGCGCTCCGCCGTCATCGTCAGCGACTTCCCCTCGCCCAAGGTTCCTCGGCGCGTCTCCGTGATCGGCCGTCGGCCGCTCCTCCCTGTTTGACGCCGGCGGTAGATTGCGTTCCTGAAAAGTTCCGAGTCGAGCCGTGACCGCGTCGAGCGGGCCATTGCTCTGGGTGTACACATTGCAGGGCACGAGTGAATAAAAAACGATGCAGATGTCGCAAGTGACATTTGGACGGTAAAATTAGCCTGCAGTCGTCCGATTGCGGTACAAAGAACTGAGATGAGGGTAAGCCCCCCCCCCCCCCCCCCGCGTACTGTATCATACTGTATCGTACCGCTCAGCCGCGCAGCTCAAGAAAGTAGTTCAGAGTCGACCGCTCACAAACCGCGTTAACACGGCGTGCGCGTTCCACGTTGTGCGTAAAGTGTCCCGTAGTAGAAGAAGCGCATCACGGCAAAAACGCGTTGCAGCGTGAACACCGCCACGCGGTCAGAGCGAGCGCTTGCCGAATGTAATGACCCTATGATACGGGTGGGCAACCTTGACCGAGGGTCACGTCCGGCCTTCCCGTGCCTTTGTCGGGCCACACATTCGTCGATCTCAACCCGTTGGTCGCACGAGCCTGCCAGGGGTCGACGTGAACCCATTGCGTGCAACACATACGGATCAAGCGATGGCTCGCACGCTACTGGTACTCTCGCACGCGTCACGGGAGCGCGGACTCTTTCGCCGGATGGTGGTAGCGCGTGAACTGTAATCCGTCACTTGAGGCGATGGCTGCAGCTGTTGCCGATACCGCCGGCCGTGCTGCCGCTGACAATGGGTCAACTGCGACCACACCACTCACTCGACGCCTTCTTCCCTCGCCATCTCCTCTTGCTCCGACCCGCAGGAGCTGGCCTCGTTCTTGCTGTCGCTGGACGCCGACGACACCCTGTACGACGACTACCGGCGGTGGAAGCTGGAGGGCCGCGTGCGGAACGCGCGGCTCCTGACGGCGCTCAGCCGGCGGTCGTGGGGCGTCAACGACCCGGCACAGGACAACTTCATCGACGCGTTCGAGTGCACCGTGTGCGCCCGTGTCTGGGAGAACGAGGAGCGCCATCGGCAGGTGGGCGGCGATGGATACACTGCGAGATGTTAGCTACCTCGCGTGGTATACGGGAGGTCGTGGGTTCGATCCCGACCCTGACGCCTGTTGTATATTTGGAGTTTGCGTGTTCTCGCCATGGATTTTTCTCCGGGTCCTCCGTTTTTTCCCTCCACATTTTAAATCAACGCATGCGCATTTAGAGTATTTGGCTGCTATCAATGACCACATGATAAGCCACTTCATTGGGCTATCATTTGTGATACCCAGGTCGTGTTTGAAAAATAACTATATAGCTCAGTGGGCCTTACCTAGTAAAATAAAAAGAAAGTTTAAATATTCTTAGCTCTTTCGGTAAAGTCACGTTGAAGGGAAACAATAAAATAATAAAATATATATAAAACAATAAAAATTCTCACGACGTTTCGACCATAACACAAACGGTCATCACCTGATGATGACCGTTTGAGTTATGGTCGTGATAATTTTCATTGTTTTATATATATTTTATTATTTTATTGTTTCCCTTCAACGTGACTTTACCAAAAGAGCTAAGAATATGAATTACTGCAGTCACGAAAGCTTTAAATCAAAAGTTTAAATAGTTTAGCATATTTGGAATTTGCATGTTCTCCCCGTTGGTCGCTTTGATTTTTCTCTGGGCCCATCGTTTTTTCCCTCTTTGTCAAATAAAGAAAAACAAAAAAAGGTAGGGCAAGAGCAGAACGTGTTATGAGGGTCAAAGGTCTTCTTTTTCTTTCTCTGTCTGGTAGGGGAGTTGATCGGCAACATTCATCTTAGGGCTGGAACAGTCAGTCGATTAAAAAGCTGAGGTGGTAAAGGCGCAGCCCTGCAATTGCTCGCTCACGCCACTGCTGGTGGAAGGACCTCCACTTGTGGGAGCTCTAGAGAAGACCCTCTGAGGGGGTTCAAGTGTCACTTTTTTTTCCATTGCGATCAAACTCGCAGCAGCGGCTTTTGGCTAGCCGTCGGACAAAGACGGCCACTGCATCGCTTCTGCGGCCGTCTGGAAGGCTCTTCCTTCCGATATTAGCAAACCACTGGAGCAATGCACTTTTAAGTCATCTAGATTGCAACCTCATTTCTTTATAACTGATTTTTGTGTTTAGCTTGTTGTCCTTCCCCCGCACCTCCAATTTGAACGATTGGCTATGTACAGTGCGAAAAAAGTTCAACAAACATAGACATTTTGTTTAACCAAGTAGGAACTCAAGAGACCAGGATAGTCTCAATTCCTAAAGTGACTTAGGTCAGCAACATAACAAAAGTTAATAAACGAAAAGGTACAGCAATGAAGCAAATAGAAATCCAAGCATTAACAACTGAGTCGCATATATTGGCTGTTCTTCCATGCTGGCTGGACTTTTGTGAATGTTTGGAAGTACCCACAATTTACACCACGACACACGACTTCAGGGGTAACTCCATGGTGAATATCTAAAATGCTGTTGCCAGTAAATGATCCAATTGGGCAGTGGTGTTGCCATGTGGTTCGTGGTGTGAAACACAGACTCACATTTACGTTCATAGACTTCGAAAGGAGACCCATAGATCGGTGACGACCAAAATGTCATCATCGGTCATGTTCAATCTGCTGCTGGGCGAACTCCTGCCCAACATGTACACACTACAGTAAACATTGTTATATCACCACGCATGTGGTAATTGATTATTTGATAAATGAATGAACGAACAGGCGAACTAATAGATGCAACGAATGAACGCACGCAGGGTCTGCCGAGGCGCGAGTGGAGCGCTGACCCCGCTGCCCTCAGCTGCCCAGCGCCAGCGCCGTTCCGCCCGGCGCTCTCCGAGCCCGGAGGAGCGGCGGCGGGGGCGGAGGCACGGCTCCGGAGGAGCGGCCGCCAACGCTCGGCTGCCCCACCCCAGCCAGGCTCCGTCGTGCGGGAATTCTGGTTGCCGATGCACCGGCAGTCGGCGAGGGAGGCGGAGGCCCTGCACGCGCTGGTGCGGCGCAACCGCAACTACACGGAGGCGCAGTTCTACGCTCGGGCGATGCGCGGCAAGGCCTGACTGCGTCCGTCTCAACGAGGTGTTTCTTTAAAGTTTTTTTGTTGTTGGGGCCTGTGGACCGCTCAGCCGGTGCAAACATTTCTCACAGGGCTCGATTCTGACAAACAGACTGATTGTTGTGTCTAGTTTGTTGTCCTCCTCCCCCCCCGCGCCTCCGATTAGCGCGGTTGGCTACGTACGCTGCGAAAGAAGTTCAACATACGTACACAAACGTGGACTACTCAGCCCCTGACCCCTGGTGGCAAAACACATTCACTAGTCTCTCTCATTACCACTCATACTGAATGATTCGTTTTACCAGAACATTTTTTTTTTTAACGCAGCTATGAGTTTTTTTTGGGGTGGCAATTTATATCTCAGGGTGAAGGTGGTTTAATCAGCGTAGTTTTACCGAACTTATTTTTTTTATTATTAAATATGATGAGTAAAATATTAATGAATGTTTAAAACAACAAGTTATTATTGCCAACCTGCATTTGCATCATAGTCCTACAGACCACCTGGAAGACCGTCATGGAGCACTGGTGGTCTGGGGATCACATTCTGAGAGACCACACTGAGAACCACTGTGCTAGAGAGACCACACTGAGAACCACTGTGGTAGAGAGACCTCACTCTGACAACCACTGGGCTAGAGAGACCACACTGAGAACCACTGTGGTAGAAAGACCTCACTGAGAACCACTGTGGTAGAGAGACCTCACACTGAGAACCACTGGGCTAGAGAGACCACACTGAGAACCACTGTGGTAGAGAGACCTCACACTGAGAACCACTGTGGTTGAGAGACCTCACACTGAGAACCACTGTGGTAGAGAGACCTCACACTGAGAACCACTTGGCTAGAGAGACCACACTAAGAACCACTGTGCTAGAAAGACCTCACTCTGAGAACCACTGTGCTAGAAAGACCACACTGAGAAGCAGTGGGCTAGAAAGACCACACTAAGAACCACTGTGCTAGAAAGACCACACTAAGAACCGCTGTGCTAGAAAGACCTCACTCTGAGAACCACTGTGTTAGAAAGACCACACTGAGAAGCACTGTGCTAGAAAGACCACACTATGAACCACTGTGCTAGAAAGACCTCACTCTGAGAACCACTGTGCTAGAAAGACCTCACTCTGAGAACCACTGTTAGAAAGACCACACTGAGAACCACTGTGCTAGAGAGACCTCACACTAAGAACCACTGTGCTAGAAAGACCACACTGAGAACCACTGTGCTAGAAAGACCACACTAAGAACCACTGTGCTAGAGAGACCACACTGAGACCCACTGTGCTAGAGAGACCACACTAAGAACCACTGTGCTAGAAAGACCACACTGAGAAGCACTGTGCTAGATCTTCCATGGTTCTCCTTGACGAGTGGAGCGGGCGACGTCCCATCGCCTCCCGCTGCGGGCACGCCGCAGTTGGTTCCATCGTGAGGTGGCGTGCGGTGGGGTAAAGTGTGGGTGCTCCCACCGCTTTCAAGAAGTGTGACCAGCGCCGATGAGTAGATCTAAACGTGCTCTGCAGGGGTTCTCTAGAGATCCGTTTAGCAGTGGCATGAGCAAGCAATCGCAAGGCTGTACCTGTTTTGTTTGCAGTTAACAAACTGGCACTGGGGCAGATATTCGCGTGGTTGGCTCGGGGGTGGTGATGTACGCAATGTGTTGATGTGTCATGATCACCGTCATGATCACCACCATCATCTCGTGGTTTGTGTACAATCTTTTCTTTAAAGATCTGTGTGCACTGACTTTATATAACCGTGTAGATATATTTTTTACGGCATATTTTATGTTTAACCTGATCGTAACTACTTAAACGTTTTGTAAGTAATTCTTTATTTTACTATTCACACTCTACAGGCAATGTTTCAACATATTTGTAATAATTAAAACATTCCAGTGTGTATATATTTTTTTACAGAATTTATAAAAGTACAAGGTATTAGGTGAAAATAGTAACATTTATATGACTTCTGTTGAACATGGTATGCAATCTTATACACAAATTTGCAATATCTCTAAGAGCTATATCTAGAGTATTGAGAACTTTATATTAAACACTATGCATTTGCACTTACTTTAAATTAGGCCTTTCCATGCTATATCGTAAATGAGGAGGTTGTTTGTCCATACTTCACCATAATGGCCAGTGCGGTTTGGTGAAGATGGGGTATGGAGAAAGTAGTTCCATCATTCTCACTCGCTGATAGTTGCGACGGGAATCGAACTTAGGTCGCCGGGTTCATAGTGCAGTGAAATCTAAACTAAACTATGTAAGGGCCACTGAGCTATGTAGCTCTTTTTGAGAAGGGATGTGGCCACAAATGACAGCTCAATGAAGTGGCCTATCACTTGGAAATGTATAGCAGCAGCCAAATACTCTAAACGCGTGTTGATTCTAAATGTGTGAGGGAAAAGTCGGAGGACCCGGAGAAAAATCCATGGAGAGAACATGCAAACTCCAAATATACAACTGGTGTCAGGGTCGGGATCGAACCCACGACTTCCTGTATACCAGGTGAGGTAGTTAATGTCTCGCCACCGCGGCGCCCCGTATCGATATGTGAACCGATATTCTGACCCCTGTCCACCCACCATCCCCATTGTGGTTTAGTATGGTCAAACAGCCTCCACGACTGTTATGACATGGGGGAAACTTTAATCATATCAGTCCCACTGCCGCTGCCAATTCTATTCTTTTGTATGACGATGGCGGTAGCAATACGTTCAGGATCTAGATGCCCAATGTCGAGGTCTGCTGGCTACGACGAGAGGGCTTCAGGAGAGAGTTCGTGTACAACCCCTACCAATAGTGCCCTCACAGTGTTGTATAATTAAGCCGTAACTTTACAATTGGCCGATGGCGCCATCATATACAGAGGATCTCAGAGCTTGGGCGATTGTTGGTGCCAGCTCGCCGCGTGTAAGCTGCTGCTGCTGCCTTTCCGCCTGTCTGTGGTTCATGATGGCTCTGAGTCGTCGTCTCTCTTCGAGAGCGAGTGACCACTTACAAGTCGAACTTGTCATTATTATGATTTGCTCCGTGTTAATTTCAGTCAATGGCGCAGCTATGGAGTGTGCAGATTGCACTGCTTTAATTTTATACATATACACAACCACTAGAGGTGCGACGATGCACACTCACTCGCCCTATAGCACTGTGCAAAGACTTCCTTTGACATCGTCCGGGTGTTACCCTCCACGGGTTTCTGGGTTCGTTTTCGAACATTCCTTTTGCTGGGTTTACAACTTTGTTTTTTTAAATCTCAAACAAGTGATGTTAAAGTGATTAAACTGTTTGTAAAGTCGATGGAATGGATTAAACGAAAGGTTACGTCCTTCCGAAAAGAAAAAAAACATGTCCTGCTAGTCAGCAGTATAAAACTTTGTACGTTGACATATTGTCGATTAAATTAATTTATTATGCAGCGAATACACTTCAGGTCGCAGTGAGCTACACGTGACAGATTACGTCCAACGGCAGACACTTACTGTGAGACAGCTGTAATGAGCAATATGTACAACCTTTGACAGTTACAATCACAATCGACATCAGTATAATAGTGCCTGTTACAGCAAACAATTCTACATTGGAAAATGGTAGCAGCTACGATACGAATTCACGTTTGATTCAAATAAGTCGAGTTATTGTCTGTTGTTACGTCTTCATGGAAACCCAGTGATTGTGCAGTGCGTGTTTGCGAGCTCTCGATGTCCACCTGAATGTATCGCGGGCCTCCTCGGAGGGAGGGGGGGTGGTGTCACCCACCACTTACTTGCCTTGTGAGCCCAGCCATAAGTGCTGTTACATGGCGTATTTCCATGTTCAACGTGCCTTACATGCTGACGCTGGCATTCGTGAGCCCATTATGTGCGCGTGTGTGTGTGTGTGTACCGTCAGGCTCTTCATATTCAAGCCCCCTCTTAGCCGTGCTTTCCATTCATGACCTGTGCACCCCGATCGAACTGCACGCTTTGCTCCGGGTTGCCAACCTGGCCTGGCTCTCCCAGGATCGTTCTCTGGCCGACGTAGCAGCAGGGGCGGAGCCGCAGGGGGAGCTGGGGGGGGCTCAGCCCCCCCTGAAATTTTGGGAAAGTCGGTAATCGGGATAACCGGAAATCCGGCTGCTGCAAAATGCTGCAGGCTGCTTGAGCGGCAGCCTTTCGAACTTATCGAACTTATTAGCCACATCAGCGGCTCCGACCTATTAATAAACTCCGCGTTCAAATCCAATAAAATTTGTCTTATACATTTGTGGCACCCATTGGAAAACATAAACACTGGATATCTCAGAATATTGAAGTCAGCCCCCCCAAAGTCAAAATCCTGGCTCCGCCCCTGCGTAGCAGTCCTGGAAAATATATCCCAAGTCCTCCCAGGGCATCGAAAGACTCAGCTTTTGTCAGTTGCATATTAATAATGATTTACCACTCGCACGGATTTTGTCTCCTGTGTTGGTATTGTTAGATATTATTATTCTTCTTCCCATGATGTGCCCCCATAGTTTTTTGTAACTTAGAGGTGGCAATTGTAACGTTCCTCTATGTTTGCAACATGTGTGCGGATATGAGGGAGTGACTCAGAAGTTCTGACAAACCATTTATCCAAGAGAAAGTGATTCGGAAAGGAGTGGCATATCTATCAAGTGTGTCGGCGCGGTGCGACTGCTGGACAGTTTTAAGGGCTGTAGAGACCCAGGCTGTGGGCCACTTGAAAAAAGAAGGAAAACATTGGACGGGGGAGGGAGGTCACATTTAATTCCTTGCACCAGGGCCAACGCCACGGTGGAGAGATGTTAACTACCTCGCTTGCTTTACCGGAGGTCGTGGCTTCGATCCCGATCCTGACGCCTGCTGCTGTATATTTGGAGTTTGCACGTCTCTCTCCCCATGGTCGTGTGGATTTTTCTCCAGGTCGTCTGGGTTTATCCTAATTTATAATCAACGTCACGCATTTGGAGCATTTGGCTACTGCTGGAAATGTTCACGCGATATTTCACTTCGTTGAGCGATCATTTATGATAGCCAGGTTGCTTCTGAAAAACAGCTATAGAGCTCAATGGGCCTTACCTGGTCAAATAAAAGTTTAGTTTAGTCTGCCCATTGACCTATAGTCTTTGGCACGGATAAGAGGGAGTCACGTGGACGTGGTGGCAAATTATTCCCATCGTCCACAGCTCTCTGATGTTGTTTTCGGGTCGCACCCCCACGGCGTCGTTTGGCAATGACGTCCGATGTTTCGCTTCGCGTGCTGGGGAGCGAAACGTCAAGAAGCGACCCGACCGGCACGCGGTACAACCCAAAGACACAAACGCAAGGAGAGCTCTGACAGCCGCCTGAAAAAACGAAGGCAGCAGCCCAGTGCCCCGTCATCCATCTGTATCCATCACTCGGACACTGCGTGGGGATAATTGGCGTGGATAAACACAGCTAATAGGATCCACACAAATAGCGCTTCAACATCGGAGCGGATAAGGCGAGTTTTGCTGTTTCGCAAAAAAATGCAGGTTATCCTCGAATGTTCTCCTGCATATAGATAGATATATATTATATAAAACTGTATACATTTTGGCATATGCCTAGATTGTTGTTAAAGGCCTGCGTGGGGACCATTGGATATGACAAATATATGTTGTACCTGTCTGAAAATGTGCATTGTCACGCCCTTGCCTATCATTCGAATAAACCGTTCGACAAGAGAAAATATCTTCCCGGTGTATTTTTATTGTTGTAAAATGCGGCTTTTCAAGGACTGCTTCGTTACTTTATTGATTAAGGACGACCGTCTCGTATTCACATGCATTGTGGCTCTTGGAATACTGAGTTTTAAGAAAATCTAATAAAAAATGGCTCTCCTTGTTATTTTGATTGCCGACCCTTCTATTCGAGTATGTATTTTAGTGGTATAACAATGCATAGATTTAAGGATTCATTTAGATTTGTCATGTTTTTTTTCCCCCACAATTGTATCCCGACTACGCTGTCACGTCATGATACGACGCATCAATCAGGATGTCTCTAACAGAGAACGGTCTTGCAGAAGTAGATATGACAGAACTACTGCAGAGGTCCTTCACGTGACCTCTGGTCCACAACGTGGGGGGCAGCAAGGTTGATATCAAGCCTCAATACACGCGTCGAATATCGTGTCCAAGCTTAAAACGTTTTTACAATTTACGGTATGTGTTCTACGTATTAAAATCGCGTGTCCCCCTCCGGCCACTTAGGGGCCGCTACACTAATCATGTTAGAAATGTAATCATGACCCTGAATCATGGCAAGTTGTTGAATAGCGAAAGCAGTGAAGCATTTAAATTCAAGTTCAAATTGAATCAATCAATGTGTCACCCATATGACATGATAAATGTTGCTCTTCTGAACTTTGATATAAAAAAAGATTAAGAACCACTGGTATGGACTGCTCAGAGACGTAAGCGCATGGGGCTTGGGCAGGACCCAGTGGTGTAGTAACGACGTTATCAGCTCAGCGGTGCGGAAATGGGTAAGGTGGGGCCCCAATAATTGATTTGTCTCGCACGGTGGCACCTAGGCTGTATTGTATATCTTGGCTCCACTTGCCTAATCACATCGTTACGCTCACAGTCTCGAACATGTGTAGTGTCAGTGATTCGGAGACGAGGTTTGTCGGAAGCACCTTCATTTATTTAGAACATTCACGGTCTCGCCTGCACGCTGTCAATAGTCGCTTAGCCTGGCCTATACACAACACGAGCCATCTAACACCGGCGGTGCAGACTGGGACAGCCAACAACTATCCTGCAGCGCAATATCTAGCGAAGACGGCAGCGACGACGGCGACGAGACGACAGCGACGACGAGACGAGTCCACTCCCAGAACCGGCAGCCTCGAGCTCCCCGCTCTCGGCTCCTTTTATCCTACCAGCGCGGCCTGGCCACGCCTCTCTTCTTGAACCCGCTTGCAGGTTCCAGGGATCCTCCAGATGGGGTCCTCCGTGACCCTTGCCCGAGTTCCTCCGCCCTGCCCACACCCCGTGCACACCCTCACCGGCGTGTGCACTGTCTGTCCACCACAGCTGCCGCTGCTGTCCACCAGCTGGCGCTATTACGCTACACTTGTGTAAAGACTGCGTCAGTAAGTCTCGAGGTGAAGACAGGGTGTCAGCGAGGCTGGATGCAAAGAGAAGGTGCCAGCAAGTCTGGAGGTTCTTGGTTGGGAAATTCCCCAGAGTGTCCAAAAGAGACAGCTGGGGAAATTCCCCCAGAGAATCCACGAGGATAAAAGCAGGGCAAGAAGGGATGTTCGGGGTCTGCGGAGAGGGACTCGGGCCATCGTCGCTGTCTTCACGTCATCGCTGTCTTCAAGTCATCGCGGTCTGCTCGGTCACACGATCTCCACGTCGGCATTATCTCATGATGACGGGGTCCTAAGCTACGTTACGTGAAATTAAAGAAACTTCTAAAGTTCGAGTCCGGAGTCATTACACATGCAACGCTGTAGAGGCTCTCCGCCTTCGCAAAATGTAGCCACTTCAGCTCCGTAGGAGTACTTCTGCAATACAATTGACCCGTTTCTAATAAAATATCCCACAAACGGGAGTTCTATGCCCAATGTTCTTTTCCTCAAGCTACTTACGTTTTTATTCTTTGGGTCTTTCGGTAAAGTCACGTAGATAGGTTGAAATAACAAAAAACTACGACGTTTCGATTACAACACAAGTGATCGTCATCAGGACTATCTACGTGACTTTACCGAAAGACCCAAAGAATATCAATTCCTGCAGTCACGAAAGCTTTAAGTACTTGCGTTTTGTTACGCTACATTACGTTTCTTTACGGTGACAAAAGGGGATTACCTCCAATAAATAAACTGTTGTAAACAAATCTCACGGTGGTTGTCAAAAGGGCCTCGAATCTCAATTTTTCCCCACGCTCGTTCCACTATTGGCAAAGACATCGCAGTGCCGGATTAAGCTACTGCGGGGCCTGTAGTATGATGTTATCACATTCCTGCGGAGGGAGCTGGTAGGAACGTTGGGTTGCTCGGTCAATGGCCAGGGTCAACGGCGGCACCACGTGGTGTATTCCGCAAATATACCCGACTGTGAGGGCGGGCACAAGCCGGCGTGAGTAGGTTAAACGTTGAGTTTTATAAGGGCCCCACCCCTCCCAACACCCACCCAGCCCCACCCCACTCTCACCTCTCCACCCAGCCCCACCCCTCCCATTTTTGGATGCACGACGGACGGACGGACACAATAATCCCCTGTGGGCTGGTGTAACCAGGAGGTTCCTACCAGTATAAAGGGGCCCTAAATAATAATAAAAAAAACACAAATATTAAAACACAAATTTTTTACTTGCATAGTAAAGTAATTGCATTTTTTTATTTGCTATACAGCCAGATAATACGACAAATCGCTAACCTTAAACACCCAGTCTTCATCAAAGTTGAAGGTGGTATAGTACTATAGTAATAGAGCAAGTGCAGAATCACTGAACCGGAATTGACAGCTTTGAAATCATTGAGCACGGGGCCCTTGAAAGTGCGGGGCCCGTAGCTACTACATATGTAGGGGGCCGTCCATAAATGACGTCACGCGATTTTGGACGATTTTTGACCCCCCCCCTCGTCACACGGCGTCTAAAATAGTCAGACCCCCCCTCAAAATTGACGTCACAAAGCTCTGCCCACACCCCCCCTCCCAAAAAATATAAAACATGCTTCAAATCGCTTTAAACTATCGTCATTGTAGTGCGTATTTAATGTGGCGCCGCACTCTGATGTTGTAGGAGAAAACATTTATTAAAAAGTCTATTTAATTAAGTAGGACGCGTTGTCTATATTTATTTAAAGTTGCGCATTTTGATGTGACGTCACATTTCTCAAACCCCCCCCCTCGTCACAAATGTCTGAACCCCCCCCAACCCAAGTTGCGTGACGTCATTTATGGACGGCCGCTGGCTACTTTTGCTACGAGGATAATTCCCTGCACTGGGACATCGCTAATCATGGCCAGCGGTGATGAAGGGGGGGGGGGGGGGGGGGAGCCGGGGAGTCGAGGCTAAAGACGGAGCGCACAGCCAAGACGAGGGAGGCCACGTGCGCATGTGGAGATGGAGCGGCAGCGTGGATCGTTGCATCGAACGACCACGACAACTTGGGGAGGATTTCATCCAGCAGTTGAAAAGATAATGGGCTGAACTGGAATAACAGCCGGGACGATTGAGTCGATTGAAGGACTAAACGTTGTAATCGACTACTTTTTTATGGTTAACTACTCGCCTATTGTATATTATTCCCCTTCACGGGACACAACGTAAATGGAAATGTATTTAGCTCTGACCATCAAAACGAATGATTATTTCCACCCTCCGCCCCCCGAACGCTGACTTGGTACATCCCCACACGAGCCAATCACAATCTTGCTTGCTACCCCCCCCCCACCCCCTCCGTGTGTTCGAGGAATGGTAGAGTCCCCCGTGAGGCCCCGCGCCGCTCGCTGATTGGTCGGTTCGTACCGCGCGTCGGTTTTTCCGCTTTTTGAAAAAAGATAAAAAATTCCCCCCCCTCAAAATTTCACGAAATCTCAAAACTCGACGGTAAAACATCACCGAATCAATCGACCAAAAAAAACATTAAACCAGCGCGCCTTACAGCTACAAACTACGCGGCGCAGACGCACGGGTAAGAATCGCCCCTTTGTACGCGGTGTTTTTTAAACGTGTGCCGGGCTCCATCCAGCACTGCAGCGCCTCAGACGAGCGAGCGAGCGGGCGGGCGAGCGGGCGAGCGGGCGTCCAAGGAACCACCAACGGAGGGGAGACGGAGCCGGGAAATCGGGCAGGATCGTCGTCTCGCGGGGAGCCTGCGAGGTTGTTACCGGTAAAATCGGTGCCATTAATCTTCGGCTGACGCCGTAAGACGCCGCATCGCATTCCGCGCGATGCGGCGGCAGTAGCACGGAGGCTGACCGGCGCGGTGAAGGGATTCATGGGCCAGCAAGCGTCTGTAACAAGTGAACGGCGTGGGGAAGGCTTCATCGCGGTTAACGATCGGTGATTAATGCATAGTGATATATGTTAACGTGTGTAGGCTTTAGCGAACAATTTTAATCAAGGGGGTTTGAGGTTAGATCGCGTAAGTATAAAGTGTGTCGTTAACCCTCCACCACCCGACAGCCACTAACATTTGTCACGTTAACAGAACGTGCCAGTTAGTGGGCCTGACGTGGTAACTGATTGCCACGTTTTGTTTACGTGACGCATCTTGATGGCTGTGTCGGGTGGTGCAGCGTTACGACACATTTACACTTACGCGATCTAACCTCAAAACCTTTATTTTGAGTAATATATCATGCAGTTCTGTTTACGTCATTTACCAGAGTGGGGAAGTATGATAACATGAACTTCACCACGACCTTCACGGTGTGGGGGTTAGCTGACAACAACCATGCGTTTACATGTAGGCCTTCATCCAGCAGTGGATTGACAAAAATACTATTATACGTACGTGCGCCCGTCCCGAACAGATGACTGTCGTGACAAGTGTATGGAATTGTTGCGATTCGAATCGGAGCTGGGTAATTTAAGATCATCTAATCGAGAAGCAAGCTTCTAAGTCTTGTACACATGAGTTTGAGTCCCAGTCAGGGTCAACAAAGCCATCATTATCGCTATCACCTCTCCAGGGGCAATTAAAGAGACACAAACCGGACCGGACTGCACCACTTTTTTTTCGGGGCATAGCGATTCACAATTCTCAGCAGTCTCCAACTCTTATTATCCAGTATATCTCTCTGGCCTCTCTATGTGATTTGAAAGGGGGGCATTGGCCGAAACGTCGTCTGTAATATACTTTTCCTTTTAAGGCTGCAGTGTTGTTGACAAACGTGTTGAGATGTTTTATTGTTTGTGCTTATGCACCTCTGTCAACGCAGCATCGCCAAGCAATGCTGTCAGTTATCGTTAAGTTCACAAAACATCACGCATCGAATCGCGTGTGTCACGCGAGTCGATTGTATTAGCTGACTTTGCCGCATGTCGTGTGGAAAGGTTTCACGTGACCCCACCAGCCACCAGAGGCCGCTACATTCTCCACAAAGTGAACAAAATCGGTTATTTAATCGCGACCCAGAGTATTGACACCTGATCAGGCTAAGAGTAAATTGTTGGCTTGTATAGAACAGAAGTTGGCAACCAAAATAACAAGAAGAGACATTCTTGGTTCTTTCGGTAAAGTCACGTAGAAGGGAAACAATAAAATAATAAAAATATAAACCAACAAAATTCTCACGACGTTTCGACTGCAACACAAGCAATCATCATCAGGTGTGAAAACCACAGCAAGAAAATTTGAAAAAAGTGGCATTTTTTTTTACTTAAGCACCACGGAGAGCGATTTGGCAGTTATTCAGATGGACGAGTCATTTTTTTAGACATTTTATTTATTCTGTAAAAAAAAAGCTCAATATTTCATGAGCTCCAATGTGTGTGAATAACGTCACGAAGCTGTCCTTAAACAGTCGCGTGTGCTTCCGGAGCCAAAGGTTTTCGACCCCTGGGATAGAACAACCAACTGCGAACTGGCCACGGAGACTTGTGTGTTTTTGCTTCCCTGTATTCGGAGAAACTAGTTTTAAAAAGGGCTTCCCTGTGATCAGAACACATTGCTCTCAGCCCTTTAACTCTCCGGGGTCTACTCTTATATAAGCGCATAACTTTATCTGTGACGAACGCTGCACTTTCCATCATGAACGACGGAAGCGCAGGGACAGACTTTCGATTACGTTGGAATCGATCTGCAGACGGCGGTCTTCTCACACGGCCAGCTCTATGTCGCCTTATCTCGATCCCGCAATCCCAAACAGGTGAAAGTCCGCATCGAACCAAACCCCCCAAGCAAGGCCATCTACTTATCGACGAGAGAAAAATTCACACGAAATGTCGTTTTCAATTAAGTCTTCCAGGTGTAAAATTATATAAGCTTTTAATGAAGAAATACAATAATCTAGTTCAAAGATGTTTCATTTTAAAACGTCAAAACGGAGCATCGGGTGCTTGCGTGAATGCGTCGTTCGTATGCAGTTTTTTTGTGACTTTCCTGGCCGAAGGCCGTGAATGGTTGCGAGGGGCCGCCATAGGCGCCCCCGAACAACCCCTCAAATACAATGAGTACCAATTTCTGGGAAGGCCAAAGTGGTTGCTCTATGGTGTGTCTTGTCCTTGTCATTGGAATGTGGAATTTCAACAACTGGCTCAGGGTTGTAAAAGAGAAATGATCACTTTACCCATTGTCATTTGAGCATTTTGTGGTGTTGAGGTGGCCAGGAGATAGCAATGCAGCAATGGACGCTTGACTATCTGTGCAGGCCCTTGTGTTATCGCCTCCTATGATGTGGTGGGTTTTCTCCAGGCACTCCGGCTTGCTCCCACATGAAGCAAAACGCATTAATGGAATTGTCCAAACATCCCCAAAGTAGCGAACCAAAATAAGTTACAATTTTAAAGGTTGCTAACAGCTGCATTCTTGTGAATCAACCAGGACTGCAGTGCTGCTCCCACACCTCACTGCCCCGGGTTTCACTGCTGGAGCGACACGCGGGGGGGACGACGCCATGACGGCCCAGGATGACTACGAGGAGCTGCTACGTCTCTACGAGCTCAGGGAGACCATCGGCTCAGGCAAGGCGACTGCTCCCCGTGCCGCCTTTCTGCTATTCCTGGCATTTTCCCCGTTCGTACGGGGCCTGCCTTCCTCGTCCTATTCCCCCACTCATTCCTGTCCTGGGTCATTTCCACGTTCACTCTAGAGGCCTTCATATCCTTGCTCACCACTTCCCACTCATGTGAGGTCTGCCTTCCCGGTCCTCTTGCTCATTCAGGGAGTGCCACAGTGGTGAGATGTTAACTACCTTGCCTGGTATACAGGAGGTCGTGGATTTAATCCCGCCCCTGATGCCTGTATATTTGGAGTTTGCGTGTTCTCTCTCCCTGTGGTTGTGTGGATTTTACTCCGGGTCCTCTGGTTTTTCCTTCCCCATTTAGAACAATGCGTATTAAGCTACTATAAAATTTCACACGATAATCCACTTTGTTGTGCTATCATTTATGGCCAGGTCGTTTCTGAAAAAGAGCTATACAGCTCAGTGGGCCTTACCTGGTAAAATAAAAGAAATTGAAATGGTTAGTCTTTCATTCCAGTCCTGGGCTACTCCGCACCCACTCAACAATCTTTCATATTCTGGTTCACCATTTGCATCCACCTCTTTCTAGGCCTGCCTCTCGCTCTCCACCCTGGTGCTTCCATGTTCATCACCTTTCTTCCCATGTGCTATTCCTGCAACAACCTTGCGCCCATCTACCCTTCCGCATCTTTTACTCACCTACCCTCCTCCCTGTGTCTCCCGCACCAGCTACCAAGTCTAACTTAATGCTCCCTGCGAGTCTATGAATCGCCACAATTCGGGATCACGGTTTGGGGTCACGGATGAGCACTTTTTTGGTACATTTTCACGAATGCTCACGTTGTTTTTGCCCCCCTCTCCCGCTCACCCCTGTCCCCAGGTGGGTTTGCCAAGGTTAAGGTCGCGCGTCACTTGCTCACGGGGGAGAAGGTGGCCATCAAAATCATGGACAAGGCTGAGCTTGGGGTATGTGCGTGTGTGTGTGTTTTGCTCTGCACTCCACACACCAGCGCTTTCCCTGAGAGTCATGCAATTACATTCAACAACACTTGTTGAGTTGAAGTGGTGATGTAATGGTTAGCCTGTCGTACCACGATCTGTGCGCCCTTCGTTTTCATTCCTGGCCATACACGTCGTTGGTAATTGTAATCCCAATCAGGCCTGGGACTCCTGTAGGTCAATTCAGCTGGAATTGAGTACCAGGTGCTATGTGTCAACTGTGGAGATAAAGGTGACTGACCATGAGTGATTATGGCTATAATATTCCTTTTGTGTGCAATCCTGACCATAATCTTGGTTCTCTAACAGTGCTTGTCCCTCGTGTCTATCATACAAAATACATTTTTAGGGTTAGTGTGTGTGAGCAAAATTGGCATAGTGGTTCATGCGCTGTGCTACTGCACGATTTAAGTTATCACCCATGGGTAAAATTAGTGGCAACTGAACCGAACTTGTCCTGGGCCTCTTGTAGGTCGGTCGACTCAGCCTTAAATGAGTACCTGGTGGAGTGCGCAAACATCAGCACTGTGAAGACAAAGGTGGCTGGGCGTAGGTGTGGCCACTTTCTCGTGTAACATGGAAACTTCAATAGGTGCTTCTGAACAGCACTTGCCACAATCTTTAAGACTGCATGAGCAATCTGTGTGGATGTGTGTGTGTGCAGGATGATTTGCCACGAGTGAAGACCGAGATAGAAGCCATGAAGAGCCTGAGCCACCAGCACGTGTGTCGTCTCTACCAGGTGATCGAGACAAAGACGAAAATCTTCATGGTGCTGGAGGTGAGAAACAGTCACCAGTAGTGAGTCACTGCCCACGTCCCCTTCCAGAGAGAGTCCATTACTGATGATAATGGCCTTCGTTTTCCCAGGAAAGCCTCACTGAATGTCAAGGCTATGTTGTCAGGAAGGTGTGTTACATTGGGGCATTTGGCCAAATACATTAATGAGTGTTTGGCTTTGTGTGAGAAAAAGCCAGATAGCCTAGAGCTATCTCAGCGAATGGTGTAAAGAAAAGCTTAATTACTAACGAGGCTTGGTTAAAATATTTTGCCCGTAGATTCGCCAGGCGCAGCATTGCCGGAGAGTCACGGCGTGTGCCTGTCCCACAGTACTGCCCGGGCGGGGAGCTATTCGATTACATCATCGCGCGGGACCGCTTGCCCGAGGAGGAGGCACGTGTCTTCTTCCGGCAGATCGTTTCGGCCATCGCCTACGTCCACAGCCAGGGATTCGCACACCGTGACCTCAAGCCGGTGAGAGGCACACGAGGCTGTGTTCACTGGCCGCCTTTGTCCATCCGTCCATCCTTCTGTCTCTGTCTTTCTGTTCCTCATTCCGTGTCTTTCTGTTGCTGTCTCCATCTCCTTTATTTTCCCTCTCCTTCCATTCTTCTTTGCTTGTGTCCTGTGGTATGGTCCTTCCATTCCACTGTGCCGTCCACCAGTTTGTATGTCCTTCCTGTCCTTTTTTGCACCCTTGGAAGTGAGCTGGTTCCATCTCTAAGTTGTAATAATGATAATAAAAACAAATTTGGATTTAAAGCTTTCGTGACTGCACGGGTTCATATTCTTGGTTCTTTCAGGAAATCACGTAGAAGGGAAACAATAAAATAATAAAAATATAAAACAATAAAATTCTCACGACGTTTCGACAATCATCATCAGGTGGTTTTCACACCTGATGATGATTGCTTGTGTTGCAGTCGAAACGTCGTGAGAATTTTATTGTTTTATATTTTTATTATTTTATTGTTTCCTTTCTACGTGACTTTACCGAAAGAACCAAGAATAATAAAAAAAAAGACTTTATATTAAACATTCTGTCCTTTTCGCTCTACATCGCTCTTTAATCACTCTTCCACACACAAGTGCATGGTCTTCCTAATTAGGCCGCTTGTTGAGCACATACCTTTTCCCAGTGGGCATCGTTAACTTTTTAAGATTCCTGCAGTGGTGCGTGGTGAAAGCTTGACAGAAGAATTGTCAACACGCAGCACGACCTGAAAGACCATGCTTGGATCAAGATTGGCCGTGGGAAAAACAACGTGTGAGGTTCACTCTCCCGCTTTGTAACTGCTGGACATCCGTGAAAAAGAGCTTCATAGCTCATTGGATTCCTCCAGGATGAATAAAGGTTCTGATTTCTGACTGTGACTCCTCCTGCAGGAGAACCTCCTCATCGATGAGAACCACAACCTCAAGCTCATCGATTTCGGGCTCTGCGCTCGTCCCAAGGTGGGGGGGGGGCAAGGGGTGGGGGCGATGGAGGGGGTGAGGATACGTGGTGGGATGGGTCTCTTTATAGTGACGCGGTGGTTGTGTTGTTTATGTCTGTGTGCCGGTAGTGGTGTGGTTGTGGGATTGTTTTAGTGTGATCGTTATCTGTAAAGTGCTTGTGTGGTTGTGGATCTTTGTTGTTGTCAGCTTGTGTTGTTTGTGCCTGTATAGAGTGGTGGGGTGCATTTAATGTTGGCGTGGTTGTGTTCCGGTATATTAGTGGTGGTGGGGTTGTGTCTGTGCTGGTGGTGTATAACAGTGGAGCGGTTGCGACTGAGAGTATAGCGGTGTGAGTGTTGGCCCGTGTGGCAACGTGTCCGTGTGATGACACCAAGTTTGTAGCGTACGCTGCTGAGCTGGTGGTATGGCTGTGCTGGCATGGTGCGTCGTGGTTGCAGGGCGGGCTGGATTGCCACCTGGAGACCTGTTGTGGCAGCCCGGCGTACGCTGCACCAGAGCTCATACAGGGAAAACCCTACTGTGGCTCGGAGGTACGAAACACGTGCACAACGATTTACGTATTCCCTTTTTACGTCGTTTCGCAAATAGAGGACAGTCTGTTCTCCTGTAACGAGGTAGTTGCGTTCCTCAAGAACACCGCGTTGTGGAAAAATCGAGTTCTAAATAATATATGATATAGGGTAATTCACAGTCCGCGATAACACGAGAGATGCGTGCGCAGGCTGAACAAAGATTGAGGCGTGTGGGCAGCATCCAGAAGCATCCAGCAGCATCCCGCCTTGTGTGACGCTACGCCGAGGCGGCCGTACAACCGCTTATTCCTACTCGCGCGATGTAGTCCTGTGCACTCAACTGCGTTATATCCAATTTGCATGATGAAAACACACGCCGTTATAGGAGAACAGACTGTACGCCGTCACGTTATTAATACCGCTACCCGATTTGCGTTGCCTCAACCCACACGTCGCATGACCGCGTCACCCGTCCTTTCTCGCGATTGTCGCTTCGGCCTTCGCCTCCACCCAGCCGGTACGCGAACTACTTTGCGCCGCGCGTAAAGGAATGTATCATACTGTCGAGTAAAATATATTATATGTGTACGGTATTTTGGTGATTTCTTATCGTGTACTGTATCTTATTGTACCCTATATAATTTGTGTTAAAGTTTACTGCTGCACACGAGTGTTGAGTACATTATTTTTAATAATTTAACGTAAAGTGGGTGCGTCTAACATTAAGATGCGTGCATTAACACAGCTTCACCGTATCCTCTGTTGTCTTTGTTCATCGGTGCTCGCTAACAGCACTTGCCCCAAAATCTGTTAAGGCTATATGGGGGATCTTTGTCTTGCGCGTTTATGTGTGAGTCGTACAGGCTGACCTGTGGAGCATGGGTGTTCTGCTCTACGCCCTCCTCTGTGGCTTCCTCCCGTTTGATGATGACAACGTGATGGCATTGTATCGCAAGATCCAGGTGTGTGTGGCTCTCTGACTCTGACATTTAAGTTTTTTTACTATTTTTATTTTACCAGGGAAGGCCTCAACTATATAGCGACCCAGCCACAAATGGCAGCTCAACGGAGTGGCTTATTACGTGGAAATTTATATCAGCCAAATACTCTATATGCTCATTTCTTAATGTGGAGGGAAACAGCTGGAGAACCAGAAAAAATTTACACGACCATGGGGAGAACATGCAAATTCCAAATATACAGGTGTGAGGATCGGGATCGAACCCACGACCTCCTGCATACCAGGTGAGGTAGTTAACATCTCACCATCATGGCGCCCGATAAGAAAACTAAAATATTATCACAGTTGCTGAGCACAGGCCCAAAGGCTCTAAAGTGGCCAGCAACAAACAGCACCATTAAAGTTGTAATAGATAAGAGCTAACACGTTAGCAAGGATGCGGACTTGAAAGACATCTATCTTTTAAAACATCTGAATAAATCTCTAGTGGTATGAAAATGACGACGATGATGATGTTTGTTAACGTGAGAAGTTTGATTTCCTTTGTTCAGAGGGGGAAGTACGAGATTCCCAAGTGGCTGTCACGCGAGAGCATTACACTCCTCGACCAACTCCTGCAGGTGAGTGCTCGCTACACTCCTAGACCAACTCCTGCAGGTGAGTGCTCGCTACACTCCTAGACCAACTCCTGCAGGTGAGTCCTCGCTACACTCCTTGACCAACTCCTGCAGGTGAGTGCTCGCTACACTCCTAGACCAACTCCTGCAGGTGAGTGCTTGCTACACTCCTAGACCAACTCCTCCAGGTGAGTGCTCGTTACACTCCTAGACCAACTCCTGCAGGTGAGTGCTCGCTACACTCCTAGGCCAACTCCTGCAGGTGAGTGCTCGCTACACTCCTTGACCAACTCCTGCAGGTGAGTGCTTGCTACACTCCTAGACCAACTCCTGCAGGTGAGTGCTTGCTACACTCCTAGACCAACTCCTCCAGGTGAGTGCTCGTTACACTCCTAGACCAACTCCTGCAGGTGAGTGCTCGCTACACTCCTAGACCGACTCCTGCAGGTGAGTGCTCGTTACACTCTTAGACCGACTCCTGCAGGTGAAGGTTTGTGTGAGCTGCTGTGGGATGCCCTTACGGTGTGGCCATGCTCATCGATAATGTTTTAAGTTTAACACATGTTTTCGCGAGCAGTAATATAATCATTATTATGGATGTTTGAGTTGTTAACCCGCAGGCTACGTTTCTTAAGTAAGCCAGTATGCAAGAGTGCCACTGTGTGTGTGTGTGCGTACATGCTTAAATATATGCACGTGTGTACATTGCTGTTTGGGCGGTTGCGCATACATGTGCGTGAGTGTATGAAAGTGAATGTGAGGTGGGGCGGTGGTTAGTAGACTGCGGTACAAACCGGTATAATATCACTGGTGATTCTGGCAACCTGAGTTCTTATTTCTAGCCATGGCTAATATTAGTGCTGCTTATCTGAACTGCTCTGAAGTTGACTCGTCCTTAAATGATTACCTGTTGCTGTGTGTGTAAACATCAGCATTAAGGAGACAAAAGTGGCCGGCTTTGGTGCTGGCCACGTCACCCCTTGTGCGCCGTTCCAGCCTTAATAGGTGCTGGCTGACAGCGCTTGTCCCCCAACTGTCTGTATGACTACATGTGGGGGATCTTTGTATTTTGCTGTTCCGTGTGTGTGATCACATAGGTGGACCCGACGCGTCGCTTGGCCGTGAGACATCTTCTAGGTCACCCTTGGCTAATGAGCGGCTATGGCTGTCCCGTAGAGTGGCACAGCAAGTTCCCGGTAACTCCCGTCCACACACTCTCTCTCGCGCTTCTGATCCATCAGGCTATTGACGTCAGCTCTCGATTATGGGAAAGCAGTGCCCTCTACTGTGAGCCATTCGCTGACACGTTCGGTGTTGTCCTGCTTTGCCAGAGATCTGGATGGACCACTTCCGTTTCGTGACATGACAGTCATATCACGATCGCGATAAAATCGTGAACATTTTTACAATTTTTTAACTGGACGTTAATAAAAAAAAAAAACGCCGTCAACGTAGGCGTTGTCCTCGCAGTGGTCCGTTCAAGTGACGCGGCTTCGTGCTCTGTGCCCGTGCCAGCTGCTTCACGTGGACGAGGACTGCGTGACGGAACTCGCCGTCTTCGTCAAGAAGTCCAAGCAGCGGACGGCAGAGCTGGTCTCGGAGGTGCGTCCATCGTGTGACGGTGGCAGTGGTTTAGGCTGAAACATCGGTTCATTGAAAATAATAAATTGTGCACACACTTTGACGCAGGCATCGTAGACCATTGCATGTCCACAAAGCGGCTTAGGTTTGGTCGGATAGAGAGGGCTTAACGAGAGGAGATTCGATGATGCGTTGTTGACTGGCACCAGTGGTGTTAAGATTTGTTTCTGTGGAGGAGACTCGTAAAGGACGCTACTGGGCAGTTGGAGGCAACTGCCCTCCAACAATGGAGAGCAGAGGAGTGGCGCTTACAACAATGCAGAGCACCAGGTAGTTAAAACAGCGGGTGGGGATCACAGGTGGTGCACCTTCCAGTCACCTCGGTCAACCCATAACACCTGGGTTTGTCCCGTGACCACATGCCAGTGAGCCTTCAAAATTTAACGTAGCCTATGCACAAGTGCACCTAGCCTGACACAAGAGCTGTGGACACATCACTTCCAATTAGTTGGAAAAATTACAGCCGTTTACATGTCGGAGGTGCATGTATGAAGTGTATGTCTTTTTTTTTGCAGTTACGTTTACGAACAGCACTTGCCCCAACAGTCTGTTAAGGCTATATGGGGGATTTTTTTGTCTTTGTTGCAGTGGTGCTACGACGAGTTCACAGCCTGCTACCTGCTGCTGCTTGCCAAGAAGGCGTCGGGCCGCCCCGTGCGTTTGATGCCCCCGGGTGTCACCGCCCCCCGCTCCTGCCCCCGCGTGCGCGTCGCCTCTACGCCACACGCACGCGCCAACAAGGTGCGCTCGCACGCACGCACGCACGCTGACTAGCACGCTTGCATGCGCTTGTACGCCCGGGGTGGCGAGATGTTAACTGCCTCGTATACGGGATCGCGCGGGTTTGATTCCGACCCTGATGACACACCTGCTGTATATTTGGAGTTTGCAGTGTCTCACTCGCCGTGGTCTCGTGGATTTTTCTCCGGGCTCTCCGGTTTTTCCCTCCACGTTTAGAATCAACATCGTTGCGTTTTGAGCATTTGGCTGCTATGTATTTCCACAAGATAAGCTACTTCGTTGAGCTATCATTTGTGGCCAGGTCACTTCTAAAAATAGCTATAAAGCTCCGATTAGCACCTCCGATTAGCACTGTTGGCTACGTACGGTGTGACAAAGCGTTCAACATAGATACATAGCTTAGTCGGCCTTTTCTGGTAAAATACAATTGTTTAGGTCGTTTTAAAAATAGTTTTTTAATAGTATGTACTCAAACATACTTGCAAACATGATCTCACACTGGTGCTTATTTCCTTAGATAATTTCTGTATCATTGCATGTGTTTGTGTGTGTGTGGTGCTTTATTGATTGCGTGTGCGTGTTGTGCGATGATTATTTTTTAATCCGTTATCGTCATTGTAATAGAACGCTGACACATGAAGCGTATTAAGGGTTATGAAAGCACGCATGCCGAAGTGTGCGAGACGTACCGTCATTTCTTCGTCATTGTCTTCCTTGTCGTCATCACCGTCATTGTTTTATCGGTCTTTACTGTCCCGCAGTCAAGAAAGGCGCTGGCGTTTATGGCACCACCTGGCGGAGGGGGCGAGGAGGGAGGAGACGGCGTGGAGCAGGAGGATGAGTCAGAGGACACGCCGTATGTGTTTGGCTCCATGGACTTTGACGACGCCGACTCTTACTTTGACGACTGCCCCTTCAGAAGGGAGAGGCATTGCTCAGGCCGACCGCCGGTATGGATGTGCGCGTGTGCGCACACACGCACACTACACTTGTATTCGCACGCAAACACGTGCACGTATAGAGACAAAGATCTCCCCGAACAGACTGTTGGGGCAAGTGTTGCTAGCAAGTAGCACCTATGAAGGCCGGCACGGCACGGGATGGGATGGGTGGCCAGCCAGTACCACCCCCGGCCGTCTTTGTCTCCCCCAATGGCAATGTTTACAACACCATGCCACTGGTGTTAGCCGTGAGCGAACTGGGGTCGCTGGGTTTGTAGTAAATCGTGCAAACCACGAAACTACAACAGATGGATCAGGCAATGCTTTTCAAAATGCGTTTGTCCTTGGCATCATTTAATAATAGGTCCTGCCCTCCCAGTCTTCAACCTGCACTGACCAGTGTGGTGAAGTATGTAAAAAAAAAAACAATGACCAGCATGGCTTTGTCAAGCCTTCATTTACTGGTGGATTGATGCTGGCTGCAATGTAAGAGGTCAAATCAAAACAGATTTCCCATTGACACCTCAGAGTGACCGTTCTCGTTGACCTGTGACCTCCATCCTTCTTAGGCCAAGAAGCCCCGACCCAAATCCGAGACCACGGAGTACGACGTGGCACAACCGCGACGGGCGCGAGCTACCGCCCCGGCAGCGGCGACGACGCCCGGCGGCAAGGAGAACGTTCCCCACGCCCGCCCTCCCAAGCCCAGCACTTCCTCATCGTCATCCTCCTCTACGTCGTCTCTTTCCTCTGCATCATCGCCACTCAAACGCAAAACGCCCGGTGGGAAAGGGAATGCCGCCACTCCGCGATCAACGCCGGCGCAGGCCGGGAAGCCCTCCACGCTCGTCGCCCTCACGCCGGGTTCCCCGACGTGCCGGGCCGGTGCCGTAGCCGAATCGGACTCGGAGAGGAAAGCGGTGACGAGGACTCCGGCATGGGTGAAGGAGGTGGTGGCGTCGTGGCACGCACCGCAGGGTACGAACGCAGCCGACGGCGCTGAGTTGGTGAAGAGTTCGTGGCTGAGCCGTGCTCATTATGTTGAAAACTTATTTCCTTGGAGCTGCTTTTTGCATTTAGTTTGTTGTCCTTCTCCCGCACCTCCGATTAGCACGGTTGACTGTATGGTGCGAACGAAGTTTAAAATACAAACGTACATACGCGGTACGGCTCTTAGCAAGCGTTGGCAAAAGCCGGGCTGACTTGTAGGTAGAGATGGCACTGCGCTCCGTGGTGTGCTGGGAAAACTGGAGAAATTTCAGAAAGGCTTGGGCATCTGTTGATTGATTATTATATTCTCTGTCATGCTGGTTTGTTAAAGGAAAAGTCTCTCAGAGGTCTCGAGACTCTTCTAGGTAGTTCCTGCTAAGTTTTTTCATGCCATGGTGGCGAGATGTTAACTCCCTCGCCTGGTATACAGGAGGTCATAGATTCCATCCCAACCCTGATGCCTGCTGTATATTTGGAGTAGAATCAAAGTACATTTAGAGTATTTGGTTGCTATACATTTCCACGAGATAAGCCACTTCATTGAGCTACCATTTGTGGCCAGGTCGCTTCTGAATAAGAGCTAGACAGCTCAGTGGGCCTTACTTGGTAAAATAATAATAATAGTTTTACTTTTTCGCCGTCGCGGGTGATGATTCCTGTGGGATATTCTAATCGAGTCGTCCGTGGGTTATTTGTGGAATTTAGACCATGCTGCCGAATGACGTCACAGGATTGTTGTCGTCTACGCTGAAACACTCGGCGCATAGTATTTTTTATTAGTACATCAGCTGTATTCATAGTGGCGGTCACTATTAGAAAAGACGGTGACAATAATACACTTAGATCTCATTTTTCCTTATGGCTGGTGCACATTGAGTGATCGCTGTTGGTGATATGCTGGTAGTGATGATGAATTGCATGTATGAACTCATTGCTACTCAGGTGCGTGTCCCATATGATGTAGAGAACGGCGTATACACGCGTTCAAATGTATGCATGTTAAACTTCTTTCGCACCGTATTTAGCCAACCGTGCTAATCGGAGGGGAAGGACAACAAATTAAAGACAAAAAGTAGTTTTAAAAACCGCAGTTCTAAAAACGTAGGGGATCAGATCCCTCTACATCACGTGGGACGTGTTTAGTAATCATCAGGCATGTGAGGTGCAATGTCTATTTGTATAAGAACAGAGTACTTGTAGACTAGGAGGTGGGTCTCAAGGACTGCCTATTTCCCTGCTATGGCACCGGATTGTCAACGGGTGGCGCCAAAGTTATTTGTAAAATTCAGGCAGTTTAGCAGCTGAAGTCGACGATGAAAACGTAGTGTCAGTTGCATTGTGTGAATATCTCATCGTTTGCAATTCTATGCGTGAACCTGCATACGAGCTAAAGAGTAAGGACATTTTTACTTAAAATTGCGGACTGATGAAGCTACCAGCGTTACCAATTTTTAAAGTGGAGGTGGTTTAGGGGTCGGGAGCACAGCTGAGATTCCTGGTTTGAGTCTGGGTTTGAGTGTGGGTTTCATCCGCCCGTGATTTAAGAAGATTTTCAAGTGTAATGAGTTGATGGTCTTGGCCCCGCTACCAGTTATTTCTCGAAATGACTGTATTTAATAATTAATTTGGCTAACTTAAACAATTCCGTTTGCATGGCGTGCGATTGACGCGCTTTGCCCGGCATAAAATGTGTGCCACTAGTCTAGATAAAGGGGCCGATTGAAGGGACTGGAGATGCAATTCTGGGCCATCATATTTTGGTGCCACTTTCTCACGTGGAGTGATGCACTCCTCGCTGCACAGTGCCATTATTTTATTTTATTAATCTTCTGACACGGCGCTGATGGCACAGTTGGAATATAATTGGGAAGACATTTGAAAGTGTTGCCGTTGTAAAATGTCAGGGTAATAAAATGGTCCGGGGCCAGGTTCAGACATCTGAACCTGGGCCTGGACCTCCCTGAGGTTGAATCAGGCTTAATATGAGTACCGAGTGCATTGTGTGAACACTCGTATATAAGCAGGCAAAGACAGACTTGTGAGCGTGATACTGGCCGCCTTACCCCCGCACCATTTGCTGTTGTGGATTTAATGGGTGCTCGCTAATGGCGCTTGCAGAGTCTATAGCAGGGGTGGGAAACCTGTTCCCTGTGGGCTGAATAAGGCCCAGGACTTAATTTCATACGGCCCAGGGCCACATGAAACTTATGACTTCGGAATGGCCAACGATTGATATAATTATTCATAGCCAGCGAGTGTCTTAGCTGCACTAATCGGCTACTGGAGGGGAATATTTTTGATCTGGCCCACACTGTGTTACATCTTAGCGCTCAGTCACTTCTGACACTGTAAATGGCCTCTATGCTCAGTCAGCACTCACATCATTTTTTGCGTTGCCATTGAGTAACACCGGGGTGTTTATCTCGCCAAAGGTATTGAAAGTTCCAATTCGGACCTCGGTAAGGAAACGGTTGCTCGCCGTTTTGTCCATGGGACCTAAACGTGTGACATTTTTTTGCCGTTTCAGGACAGGGGGATTCTTCTCCGCTTGTATCCAGGCGTGGTGACCCCCAGTGTGAGCGGCTGCGCGTGGCCCCACAGTTGAGTCCAGACCGCAAGTGAGTGTGCCCCCCCCCCCCCCCCCCCCCCCAACGCATGTGGTACCAACACAGTAGCAGGAGTACCACCGCTACAAAAACCAGAAAGAACAAGACAGCCAAGCTGGCCGGCGCATGACATTTTCTCCCCTTTTAAATTTCTTGTGGTTTCTTGAGCTATTAGCTGGGACGTGAGCCACCGTGTGTGTTCACGAACGTTAATTGCTTTTGTGGCTGGTGCCTTCTACTCGCCTGGCCCCTCTTGCTCTTCCCCCCCCCCTCCCCCCGACCACTTGTCCAGTAACAATTCTCTATTCTGCTGCATCTGCACGTTTTCCGTTTGTTGCGGAGGTTCACTGTTTAAATCCAGTGGCCGCCCTGATTACCTTGGATTAGCGCAGTTGGCTACGTATGGTGTGAAAGAAGTTGAACATACATACATACATGACTGCAGGTGTGTTATCCGTGACAATACCAAGACTACGCGCCGTCTGCTTCACTGAACTTTAAATGTCCCGCAAGAGTTGGCCATCGCGTGCCGGCGTCAGGGTTCAAATTTTACAAATTCGAAAATTATTCGCAAATTACTCAGTTGGGATTACACGGAGCTATCATCGCCCCCCTAGTGGCAGTCTGATGCCCCAGGTCACTAACAAATGAGATGCATCCTGGTCTGTTGGGTACTCACCTGGTTAAACAAAACAAACTTGAAACTTTGCACACCCGCGCGTGGAATGTGAATGTTATTTATTTTCTAAGGAAATATGCGTCTCGACTCTCTACTGGAGGGTCCTGTATTGCGATGTTTGGCCAATTCCATTGTAGAGACAGAAGGGCCGTACATCAACTTGCGTCCACTATTTAGCTACGGAGAGCCAATTGGGAACTGGTCGTCATCACTTTATTTATATTGCACAATTCATAACGTAGGTCTCGGTGCGTAACCCCCAGCTATACATTTGAAAACGGATGTTATGAACCGGCGACATTATTTACGCGAGCGAAATGCATTAAGTTTAAGACCTCGACAAGTAATTATCATAAAACAAATTAATGCAGAGCGGCTAAAAGAGATTGCGTTCAAAGTATTTCATAAGAGTAAAAATAATTGTCTCATTCCTACACCCCGTGTAAGCCACGGGGAATAGGCTCGCACTCGGTATGTTGTAGGTTCAAACCCCTATCGTGAGTCAATTTGACCCATCGTCCCCGAAGGGATCGATATAATCAGTAACACTTGGCGCTGAAGTTCACAGTGATTGTTTAATGGACTTGCCTCCTCCATAGGAATGTAATTTCCACCGCTGGCTCGGTATTGTAAACAGAATATGGCTGCTTCAAAAGGAAAACATTTACACTTTTGTATCACTTTTTAACACAAGTTGAACGCATTGATGTATTAACTTTGTTCGTCTGTAACTTTCCTAACGATGATCCAATATAAAGTTGTAGAGCTGTTATTGACTTCCACGATTGAAAACCAGACAAATTGATAAAAGGCTTTCCCAAAACATAGAGATGAAAAACAAGTCCTAAAAGCAAGAGTGCGCTTCCACCTCCCCTCCCGATGTCCTCATTACCTGCGGAGTCCTTTCGCGTGAGCTGGGTACGCCACGGTGATTGTAGGAGTCACACCGATGGGCACTCTTTAAGCCGCTCTGCCCCCCAACCTCTGTAACTCCCTTGCCAGGCAACTCCGCCTGGTCCCATCTCTCTGCTTTCAAGTCTCTCCCTCAAAACCTTCCTCGTCAACCCCCGTGCCTTTGGAACCCACTCCTCCCCCCACCCCCTTAATCGTTTACTCATTTATTTAGAATACATTTTGATGTTTAGTTTTGTCGTCCTTCCCTTGCACCTCTGACAATCACAGTTGGCTACGTACGGTGTGAAAGAAGTCCAACATGCATACATGCTTTCTTCTTCCTCCCCAACGCTTGCGACCATCCCGTTCCCTCTTGTTCCCGTTTGTAATCCTGCGATCTTTTAAGATGTTTGTTACGGTTTCGGGCACGCAACAAATGCACGTTGTACTTACATCTCTATGTATGATCTTATTTCGCACCGTGCGTAGCCAGCCTTGCTAATCGGATGGGCGGGGGAAGGACAACAAACTAAACACAAAAAGCAGTTCTAAAGAAATTAGTTTTCAATCTAGATTTAAAAGTGCACAGCTCCAGTGGCTTCCTAATATTGGAAGGAAGAGCATTCCAGACGGCCGCAGAAGTGCACCAGAAAGCGCAGGATGCGGTGACCGTCTTTGTCCCATGGTTCGCCACAAGCCGCCGCTGCGAGGATGACCGGAGTTTGCGTGTTGGTTTATGCTCCTTGACGAGATCAGCGAGCTATTGTGTGGTTAATTTGTGGCAAGCATGTTGCGTGTAATGAGCATGGTTTCTGATTGACAACGGCTCGTGGAACACCGTTCATATGCGGGAGAGTCCATGGGCACGCACCAAATATTTGACCTGTTGGTACCACGTGAGGTGGCAAAAATGTTACCAACACCTTTAAATCGCGAATGAAAGTGAATTATTGGTCAGCAGATTCGGGTCTTCGGGGTCCGACACTGAACGTGGCTCTGCCGCTGCCGTCGCCACCGGTGGAGGAGTCGTAGCGAGCGGCGGCGGCGGTGCCGCCGGTGGCTCCAAGACGCGGCGCGGGGGGAAGGTGTTCGGGAGCCTGGAGCGCGGCATCGACCGCGTGCTGGCGGCGCTGACGCCCAGCAAGCGGCGCGGCTCGGCGCGGGACCTTCCCCGGCGCACGCGGGTGAGACGAGAGACGGGACGCTGGAGAGAGACGCGCATCGGCATTCCTCGCCCTTTGCACTTAGCCAGCCGTGCTAATCGGAGGTGCGGGGGAAGGACGACGAACTAAACACAAAAAAAACGTTCTAATAAATAAATGAGTTTGTCAATCTAGATGATTTAAAAGTGCATCACTCCAGTGGCTTACTAATATCGGAAGGAAGGGGCGTTCCAGACGACCGCAGAAGCGCATCTGAACGTGTGCGATATGGTGACCGTCTTTGTTCGATGGCCAGCCAAAAGCCACTGCTGCGGGAACCGGAGTTCACGTGATCATGGTGTGTATGTTCCTTATGTTCCCTATGTTCCTTTAGTCGCTTTTCCGCATTTGGTCCCAGCTAGCACGAGGCAATAGCAGTGCCACTGGAGTTTTTCCCACTGGCTCTTTGCTGCGCCGAGTCGGAACCAAACCGTGATACGCTGACTTCACAAGTCAGCTGAATCTGCCTCGGGGCCAAGCAGGGCCAGAATGTGAGGCTAATCACAATCAGAATATTTGTTCATACTGGAGAAATCCGATGGGACATAAAGCTTTTTTTTTACAAATGTCCAATAATGGTAAGTTCATCCCATGTGACTTTAATGAGTATCGTGAGTACAAAGAATTACTGTGTCATCAACACGCGACTCGACTCGTTCATTCACGTGCTGATTAGTGCTCACCAACATTCTCTGCAGACTATTGTTTTCGTGTGTCATGTGCAAAAGAGTGTTCCTCTGTTCCTCTGTGGGGAGCAATGGTGTAGTGGTGGTCTAGCAGTTAGCGCGCTGCGCTACGAACCCGGCGACCCGAGTTCGATTCCTGCTCACACCCAAAACCGGTGACGATTATCTGAACCTGGTATGGGCCTCCCCGAGGTCGACTCGGCCTCAAATGAGTACCTGGTGTGGTGTGTAAACATCACCACTGGGGAGATAAAGGCAGTCAGGCGTGCTGGCCACCCACAAACCTCATGCGCCATGCCGGCCTTCATAGGTGCTCGCTAACAGCACTTGCCTCAACAGTCTATTAAAGGCAAAATAGGGGATCTTTGCTCTTTTTGACCTCTGGATTCACTGGTTGACCTTCACATATGATTGTGCCATCATGAATTCTAGACCTTTTACAAGCCGCTCTGCTTCGCTGTGTGTGTGCCCCCATGCGTGCATGTGTGCATGCATGCACGCGTATGTGCCAGTATGTGTGTGTATGTGTGCGCATGCATGTGTTTGTGTGTGCACTACAGGCAAGGTGCTGGCTACCTGCCACCTCGTGTACCGTGTTGGCCTTCATACGTCCTACTCGCGAACAGCACCTGCCCCAAACTGCCTTTATGGGCTACACGGGGGATCTTTGTCTTTGTGCACAAAAGCTTGTGTACACATAGGAGTGTGTGCGCATCTGCAGATGTATGTGCACTTGCACGTGTGTGCACTTTCTTGCATGTGTGTGTATGTGTGTGTCCGTGCGTGTATATGGTACTGGTCACCTACCACCGCACGTGCCGTGCGGAGTTCACAGGTGCTAGCTTATAGCACTTGCCCCTACAACTTATGTCGGCTATCCAGGCGTATTTGTCTTTTGAACGTGTGCCTGTGTGTGTGACGCATCAATTATGCGTCCAAGAAGGCATGAAAGATTCCTATCAAGGGCTCACATTTTCAGAACTATCTTTCTCTAAAACAAACCATAAATACCATCTCTGAAGTATTATTCGCGGGAGGGAGGGAGGGATGCAGGGAGGGAGGGAGGGGGGAGGCTTCGAGAGCTTAGAGATAGATCTTTTACATTTCATTACACCGCTCCGGAGCCCCATTTTTTTTATGAAAGCACAGGGAGATGAAACTGGCCAAAATAAAATAATAAAACGAAATAGACCACACACACACATATATATGCTTACTTATTTGAAGCCGAAAAGATACAATACATACCGTCTAGCTACCAACTAGATTTCAATCTCTTTTGCCGGGTTATTAGTCAATAAGAGGGGCAGGGAGTGGGAGTTTGCATTTAGAGTAGAGCGGCGTGGCGAGAGATGTGAAATAAGGGCAGGTCATCGCCGGGGCGGGGATGGGGCTGTGTGGCCCCAACTAAATCCCCCACCACCTCCTCCTCTCTACCTCCATCCACCCTTCTCCTCCTTTGCTGTCCCCTCGCTGCTTAGGGGTTTTAGCTGGCCCAGGGTCTCCACTCTTGGTCTGTCGAAGTCACCCCTCAATTATTGTAACCACAGCTACTGTCACAGTGTCCCCTATTTGTTATTTTATGCTCGCATCTCATCTTTGCTCTTCCTCTCCCTTTTCCTCTAAATCTCTGTTTTAAAAATTCTAAATGGGATGTATCCCTCCATCTTGGTCTTGCCCTGCTCGCTTCTTACACGACACTTTGTACCCCAATTCGTTGTCTGATGTCCTTAATTCTTCCCTTATCTCTCTGCCCGCATCCTGGCAATGATGGCGATGATGATGTTGCCACGGTTGGGGGTGACTGCCTCGATCTATCTCTGCGCTCACCCATGCGTGCCGCCTCTAAATATACTTTTCCTTGATTTAAATCACACAGGGCACCCACTGATATTCTTTCTCGACCAGAGGAGGCATAGCTGCGTTTTTTGTACAACGTCTCCTAGAAATACTGGGATGAAGGCTAAACCAGTGGACCTTTGTCTTTGTTGTGTGTGTCTATATATATGCATGAGTGTACGTGTGTGAGAGAGTGGCAAATAGCAGAACTGGTCCTGGACGTCGCCTAGATCAACTGAGCCTTTCATGATGCGTGGCGCCATTTGTGTAAACATCAGACACAAATTAGTACCTGGTGCAGTGCGTAAACGCCACTGAGGAGACAAAGGCGGCCGGGCATGGTGCTGGCCACCCACTCCCTCGTGTGCCGTGCCGGCCGTCATAGGTGCTGCTCATAAACAGCCCTCGCCCCTACAGTCTGTTAAGGCTATACAGGGGATCTTTGTGCCAACCCTGTGTTCTCCCCCTCCTCCCACACTGTGCTCCGCGTGGCTTGTTGGCAGTACCACTACAACGTGACTCCCACGGGGAGCCTCAGTGCCGAGCAGGTGCTCGCAGAGTTGGTGCGGGTCTTGCCGCAGAAGCACATCGACTTCCAGCAGAAGGGGTGAGCCCAACTCGCCCCATACTTCATCGCCTCCTGCCTAATGATGCTTTGTTTGCGTTTATTTTCGTGCCGATTTCTATTTGCTTCATCGCTGTACTGTTGTGATTTTATTTGTAATTGCGTTTGTCAATTTGGTGACTCCAGGTCACTCTTGCAGTCGAGTCTGTGCTGGCCTCTTTTGTTCTCGCCTTGTTGAGCGAAATAAACCTGAACCTACAACTTGAACCGGCGCCAACTCATATAGGCCGGCAGCTGGCATGTCACTCGACACCACAGCCCAATGCCATTCATTTAAACGACTCAAACACTGGGCCAGCTTCATCAGCAGGGAGTGGCTTAAACTAAAACTATTTAAACAATTTTTATGTTATCAGGTAAGGCCCACTGAGCTATGTAGCTCTTTTTCATAAGCTATTTGGCCACAAATGATAGCTCAATGAACCGGCTTATCACGTGGAGATGTATAGCAGCCAAATGCTCTAATTGCACGTCGTTTCTAAACATGGTGGGGAAAAATTAGATTTTAAGTTTTATATAGCCTCTTGTTGCAGCAGCCCTTTTGCCCACTTCAGCAATTTTTCTTGCTGTGGTTGTCCCACCTGATGACGGACGCTTGTGTTGCGCCCGAAACGCCGTGATTTAATTTATTTTATTTTATACCTACGTGACTTTACCGAAAGAACCAAAGAGTATGGTGGGAAAAATTAGAGGACCTGGAGAATAATACACGACCACGGGGAGAACATGCCAACTCCAATTATATAGGCGTCAGAGTCGGGATGGAACCCACGACCTGCATACCAGGCGAGAGAGTTAAGAACTCGTTACCACGGCGCCCAACATCTCACCACCATGGCTTTTTGAACAAATTCCTGTGGAAAAACGTTAATAGGATACAATTTTTTGCCACTCCCTGACGATGACTCCTCTTATTTGCCAAAAAAAAAAAACCGCGCCTATGATCAGGGGCGGAGCCAGGGGGGGTGACGGGGGTGACATTCGGCGTATAAGTGTACGACACTCGGTCTGGCGGACTCCGTGCAACTGCATTGTCAGAGTGTGTCGCCAACCGATGGCGTCTAGTTCAACAGCCTGACTCTCTAATCATTCTTGAAATTAAAATTTGTTGAATGTCACCCCGGCCTGAGATCCTGGCTCCGCCCCTGCCTATGATGGAACAAATGCAGCACCTGCGGCAAACACTTTGAGGTTCGTCTTACGAGCAGAAAACCGAGTGTAATAATTGAATTTCTTGTGCAATGCCACTGTTCCTATCAGCAACAAAATATTGGATAATGTTTAATGAGTTCCGGCAGGCTTTAAGGATAACAGGAGGGTCACTGTATTATTATATGGGCGAGGGCGGCGTCCGCAATGTTGTTTACGTATTACCCACAATGCGCTGGGGCATCACATAATTATTTTGTTCAGGGTAATCGCTTCGCTGACCTCGGCGGTTAATGTATTTGTTGCCCTCTGACGGGTTGGTGGTTGGGTGGGTGGGGCGCGAGAGCGAGTGAGGTGTTGGGGGTGGGTGGGTGGGGGGTGTAGAGGGGTAGGGGTGCATGCTGTTCACCAGCTGGTGAGCGTGTCTGGCCACGCACTCGTTGTTTGTCTCCGCGTGCGTGCGGGTACCGGTGGGGGAATGGTAGCGTAGTAGTTAGGGCGGGGGTGAGGATTCGGCCTGCGACAACAGTTCATAATATTTTTTCAGAATCAGAATATGTATTTATTCTGGAGGAATCCGATGAGCTGTGAAGCTCTTTTTCACAGTTGTCCAGATTTCGAAGCGGCCCCCAAACTATATTTATTTATCCTTCTACTGCAAACGTCTTAGCAACACTAATGAGGTTGTAGAGGGCAATATTTTCCTTCTGCATTGCCCTGTGTTCACAATGTAGCTCCACAGCAGCCTACAACAGCTGCATGTTTGACGTATGGTGGTCACACATTCAGCACTTGAGCACATTCTGGGTGATTTGGTTGTAGCTTCATGCTATATATAATATATACATCAAATATAATGTAATTAAGCGTGAATTACAAATGTTTAGTGATTTTTGAGTTATGCCTGTGTTCTCCTGGCAATGCAGTCTGCTCTATTTGTTTGTACTAATTTTACAATGGAGGAACTTGAAAACACCAAGACGTATTTATCTGTTACGATAATCATAATGTGTTCGACTAAAGATGTCTCACATACTCATGCTCCCACGCACACACACTAACTCGCACAAACACACTCTGTCGCACACTCTTGCACGCACTCTCGCACACACCTGCACACTCTCGCACATACACTCTGGCACGCTCTCGCACGCACCCGCACATACGCTGTCGTGCGCACACTCGCACGAATGCACGTAGGTACACCCTCAAGTGCCAGACGCAGTCGGACTTTGGCAAGATCACGATGCAGTTCGAGTTGGAGGTTTGCTCGCTGCTCAAGCCCGAGGGCGTGGGCATCAGGCGGCAGAGGCTCAAGGGAGACGCGTGGGTCTACAAGCGGCTCGTGGAGGACGTCCTCGCGTCTGCCAAGCTGTCCTAGCTCGGCGTGTCGCCCCCACTGTGCCGCATCTCGCCGCCGTGTAACTCCTCTCAAACTTCCGTTTCCACGCGTTCCTCCCCTTTCTCCGCCAGTAACGCCCCTTACCAAACTCCTTTTCTCTTCTGCTCCCTCTAACCTTGAAATAACACCGTCCTTCTATCCCCTCTATTGTATGTATGTTGAACTTCTTCCGCACCGTAGGTAGCCGACCGTGCTAATCGGAGGTGCTCCCTCTCCCAATGTAACCCAAGAACTCCGCTGCCTTGCCCTTCTGTTCTTCCCTCTTAACGTTATAACACGCGGGTGGGGAAACTATAGCCCGCGACTTTGTCATATGGTCTGCTGGGCCAGATTGGACCCACCACTACAGGGCGGCCCACAAACAATAACATTTGGGAATGCGAGAGCCTTAGCTGCACTAATGTATATATGTTGAACTTCTTTCGCACCGTATGTAGCCAGCCGTGCTCATCGGACGTGCGGGGGGGAGGGCAACAAACTAAACACAAAAAGCAGTTCTAAATAGATACGTTTTCAATCTAGATGATTTAAAAGTACATGGCTCCAGTGGTTTCCTAATAACGGAAGGAAGAGCGTTCCAGACGGCCGCAGAAGCGCATCTGAAAGCGCGCGATGTGGTGACCACCGTCTTTGGTTCGATGGTTTATGATCCTTGGCGAGATCAGCAAGGTATTAAAAAGTACTAATCAGGTACTAGAGGGGAAATATTTTTCACCTGGCAACAACACTTTGTAATCTTAGCTCATCCAGTGAATTCTGTCACTGCAAAAGCCTCTTTATTCTCGGTCGGCACGCATGTCGTTATTTTTCCCCGTTGCTATTGGACAACGCTGATGTCTGCGCGTCAACGGGGTGTGGCCCGCAGTCGAGATTGAAAGTCCCATTGGGCCTCGGGAAGGGAAACATGGCCCCACCCCTGTGGTAACGACGACCCCTGTTCCCGCTCTGTCCCTCCGTCTCGTCGTGTAACACTACCGCTGCTGCCACTCACCTGCACGTCGGCTAAATAGGGACGCATCCCTATCAACACGTAGCTCGCCTGTGTGCGTGTGTGTGCTCGCGGCACGCTGGAACTAATCCGCGTATTTTTAAAGCTGCAATTGTTTAAAGCTGCACGTGTTCAGCTAAAGCTTTGGTTGTGGTCGGTAAGGAATGTCTGATTTGTTGGTGCTGACGCTGCATGTACGTTGCGGTGAGGTATGATTAACAATGCATGCTTCCTTTGCGTTTGCAAGGGTTTTATATTATTAGGAAAATGAGTCGGTAGAATTTAGTGATCCTAATGAGCTAAGGGTTCTGTGTCGGGTAAAGAAAATGGTTCAGTATCATATGAGATGAGACGAAGGTTCTTTATTAAATTATGCTCGAGTTCTCTATCGGACAAGACGAGGTGTGTATTGGATGGGCCAAAAGGCGTCCTCTGCTGGATCTGAAATAATCCAATGGACCACTTTTCAAGTATCAATGCAATGTCACATTTTCAGTCAAGTTAGAGAGTCTTGGGCTGTCTGGCGGCCTGGTCACAATACATTTACCAAGTTTTGCGTCTTAATATATCAAAGTAGTATGGTTGAATTATAATAAATATGCATTGCCAGTGTGTGAGTCTATATAGCATCGCATCTTAGGACCTTGTGCTGAACACGATACGAACGTAGAGAGCACTTGGGGGACAAAATAAATAAGGAAATATACTGAAACAACGCGCGGTGGGTAGATTAAGCAGCGGCGTAACACCGCGTACGGAACCGGCGCAACCGCAGAATTGCTATAGCGCATAACGTAATAGCGCGTCGCTTGTCTGTGCAAACACTGCCACTGAACCGTGCTTGCTTGGTTGTGGCGATCGTTGTTGTGCTGCCGTCGTTTGTTCGAGGCATTTTCGCTCGTGGGACGAGGTGGGGTAAGAAGATTGGAACATTTTCAGCGTGGCATTTTTGCATGAATCTCCATTCGAAGTCAAACGCAATTTTGCCCATCTTACTGAAAATATATTCTTGTCACGTTTTGTACTCCAGCACCATTTGCCATTTGTTTACACGGGCAAACGCGAACTGAGATTTGCTCGCTCTGCTGACGAGAGCCAAAAAATTTCGAAACCGGTCCACAGTTTTTCTTGTTTTTGCGCGGACAGATAATGTAGTAATTCTATTCTCGAAGCATAACGCTCCCATTTCATCGCGGAGCCGATCGCTGCTCATGTTCTCAATCTGTTCGCCACTGAAACTAATTTTTGATACCAATCCGGCAGCGTTTGCCCTGAGGCTTCTCTGCTCTTGGAATATGATTAAATGTATGATGAAATTCATAGGAATCTTGAGCCATCTGAAAAAAATGCCTTTATTATCACATTTTTGCACGCATTATGATTCAACCTAACTTGATCGCTGCCTTGTTACTTGGTAATGTGTACGTCTGGCGGGACGATGGATTGTTGTCGGGAGTTGGAGCAAGTTGTAATGCATGCTGGAAAGGGTGGATTGTTGAAAACAGCTGCCGAGTGGGTTCGTGAACGATGTCGTTAAGGAGTCAGTAGGTTGCTTAAATGGTTTTGGTGAGTAAATGTATAGAAAGTGAGTGTGGCTTCCGTTGGGTTGAAATCAAGGCTGGGTCTAATCTGGAATACCGACCTGAAAAAATATGTCCACACCTTGCACACCGCATCCAGGATGCCTCACTGTGGATGGCTTCCCAACTCGGCACGTGTCACCCTCCACTCTACCAACGGCCGGGGAAATATTCAGATAATTGAATTCCTGCTGAGTTGGTATTTTTGCGATGGCTCTACATAACAACTCGCCTATGTGTTTTCAGGTTTTGCCGTGCGTTGTACGGCACAATGTCCGACGTTTCGCTCCACGTGCCAGGGGAGCCTTTTCGGGGAACTGGATTGAACGTGGAGCTGAAACGTCGGACATCGTGCCCAACAACACGCGGTGCAATGCGAGAGCACGCCGGAGAGCTACTTGCCCACGATAAAAAAAGAAATCTTAGCGTGCCACAATGTTCGTATCTGCCTCGCTTGCCGCACCAAAGCGCCTGAATGCGTGGTGAGGTTTTCGGCTTGTGCAGTGGCATCAGCAGAGTGGTGGCTGCCTGATGAATGTGCAGGATGCTCTTCCCCGTTTCTCTTGTTTTCCCGCTTATGTTTGGTTTATTTTTTAAAGGTCAACGGTTCTATTTCCCCCCTTTCTCACGAGTCGTTTAATTTAGCCGACGATTTTCACGCCGCATTATCCCCGTGTTGGTCTTACCTTAATTGCGTCCACGACTGTTTTGTCTTCTTGAGTGTTTTTTTTTAAGAGCGTGAATAATTCAATGCTACATTTTTTTGTACGTGTTTGTGTGTGCGTGCGCTACTTATTCAGAATGCCACGTACAGCTGTGAGATGCTAGTGGGGCGGGGGGGGGGGAGTCGTTGCATCGTCGTTAGCGCACTGCTAAAGAAACTCAGCAACACGAATTCGATCCCTGGCCAAGTGGTATCTGAACCTGTCCTGGCCCTCTTTTAGTTTGACACAACATTAACATGAGCACAGTACGTCGTGTGATCATCGGCACTTGGTAAACATAGGTGGCTGCGTGTGTTCTGTGCAGGCCTTAATAGGTGCTCATTCACGGCACATGCTTCTGTACCCTGCATGACTATGGATAACCATTGGTATTTTTGTATGGGAACTGGTGTCAAGGCATACTTTGCGTTTGCCAGTGCAGGTTAGCGACGGGTTAGTCCTAGAACCAGTTGAGATATCCCTTACCACCGATGTTAGCCGTGTCAAATGAGATGCACCACAAACTCTCGCTGATTAAATAAAGACCAGTTTAAATGCACATTCGGGTTAGTACAATTAATACAAACGCCTTGTAATTATTCTGAGCCATGCTGTGTCTACTGCTGGATGGAACCGAACCTCGATGTAAAACTACTGCATGCGATTGCCAGCGTACTTGATATATGTCCCAATACTTCGTCATTACTGAACGGGTTGGCGTCTGTATTTTAATTGCTGTTATATATGATTTACATGTTTCATTTGCACACACCGAAAAAAATAAATGATTTTGTGGGCTTACAATTTACTGTCTAGGGTTTTGCGGTTCTGCTGTACGGCTCTGATGTGTTTCTGGATTGCACCGTGCATTTCGCATGTTGTCCGACGTTTTGCTCCGCGTGTTAGGAGCTTCTTCAGCAACTGGCCAAGCAGGAATTAAGTGAATATTCGGTAACCTGAAGCTCTACGTAAGGCCCACTGAGCTATATAGCTCTTTTCAGAAGCGACCAGAAAAGATAGCCCAATGAAGTGGCTTATGTGTAAATGTGAAGCAAACAAATACTCTAAACGCATATTTCTAAATGTGGAGGGAAAAACCGGAGGACCCGGAGAAAAATGCACGACCACGAGGAGAGAAAGACACGCAAACTGCAAATATACAGCAGGTGCCAGGCTCGGGATCGTACCCACGACATCCTGCATACCGGGCGAGGTAGTTAACATGTTGCTCCCGGGCAAGTGGAGCGCGTCGTTGGAACATGCCGAAAAACAGACGGTACAATGCTGAATTGACGACGGCTCGCTGTAGAATGTCAAGGGCAGAGACCACGTGTGTAGTGTTAACACACCTGGTCTCACGTGCCAGTTGTGCTGCCTCTCGAAGGTCGACTCGGCCTCAAATGAGTACCTGGTGCGGTCTGTAAACATTGCCACTCTGGATAAAAATGCGCCTAAGGGTGGTGTTGCAGCCACCCTTGTGTGCCGTGCCGGCCTTCATAGGTGCTACTCGCGAACAGTATTTGCCCCGAACACTCTGTAATGGCTATACGGGGAACGGTTGCACACGTAAAGATCCCTCCTTATATCCTTAACAGACTACTGGGGCAAGTGCTTTTAGAGAGTAACACCTTTTGAAGGCCGGCGCGGAACACGAGGGGGTGGGTGGCCAGCATCACGCCTGGCCACAAACACATACTTGCCCACACACACCCACTTGCCCACACACATACACTTGCCCACACACACATTTCCATACACAACAACTGCCATTCACCACTAAGTGGCGGTGACGTCACCACGACGCTTGTGCCAGGCCATGTGCACCTTGAGGCCACGTGAAGTGTCGAACGCCCGCTGGCAGGAGGTCACGGGGCAGACCCAGGTGCCACGGGTCGACTGACTGAGATGACTGGCTGATGCACCACCTGTGCCCCCTACTGTGCCAATCTGCTGAGCTTTATCCACCCGGCGCTCCGCTCGTTGTGAGCGTCGCTCCTCCGCCCTCCGTTGTTGTTGGAGGGCGACTGCCTCCAACTGCCCAATAGCGTTCCTTCACGAGCCTCCTCCACAGAGGCCGATCTTGACACCGCTGGTACCAGTCATCGGCAAGTCCACTCAGCTCCACGTCCTCCTGTACCACATACCAGTCATCGGCAAGTCCACTCAGCTCCACGTCCTCCTGTACCACATCACTCCATCTCTTCTCTAGCCC